GAAAATTCTCAACAACCAGTCATGACACGTGAAGCAGGATGAGACACTGGGAAGGGTAGAAACGCAATTTATGGGAGTCAGGATCAAAGCTTAATCGTCTTATCAACATCTCCATGCTATTCCGTCGCAAAAAATCTGGCTTCATATCGGATATCAAATCTCAAACATCCCACCCTATGAAAGTTCAGTTTCTCACGAGTCCAAAGGGATCCGGGGCCAAGTAATTCTGGTGGCCCCTCAGCCATGTTCCTAAAATATGACAATGGTTGTGATCCTCGTGACGTACCAATCAATGAACCTGTTAGCGAAGAAGGGAGGTAAAAAGTGATGTACCAGTACCGCATCAGGAAAAAAACATACACATTTCACAATTCGTCAATACTTCCAGGGCCTCTTACCCAGTCGCCACTAAGTTATGGTTAGCGATGACTCTGGTAAACTATCCAATGATGGCCCAAACCGAGTGATAAGGGGTGACGGCACCTGGGGTATCCTAACTTTCTAACACAGCATGGGAGAGCACAAACATATTTCTGTATCTCTCCACGCACGATATTAAAGGGATAGCGAGCATTGGGCTGTCGGGCTGAGTGGGGAAACGTTGTGACAGTTTCGTCTCTAGCTTCCCCTGTCAATGACTGGATGTTTTGCCCAGTAAAGACCACTCCGTCAGGTACGAGCACGGTGAAGAAACCGCTCAGCAACGCAGCGGCGGGACTACGATCACCGCGAATGAAGCACTCAGAATTGGAGAAGAAAGGTGGAATATGGGTAAGCTATCCATCGTGCTAGCTAAGGACACACCGGGAGATATATATCTCCCAAAAAACAACCAAACTCCCGAAACTCAAGGGAACTAAACGAACTCTGAGGAAATGCATCAACCTGACAAATAGTGATCCTCTGAAATCTCAGACAATCTAGAACCATCATGATATCTTATGATCCTCCATGATCCCTAAAGCCTGTGCTCCGCGCCAACTATGATACCATATGCCGAATGGCATATGGCGTGGAAGAAACATCGCCAAAACAAATCCCCCCATACCCTATGCACGATGGCAACAGGTGTCAGCCTTCCACACGCTACATAAGAGCCGAACCACATGCCCCATAGGCAATCCAACACACACAGGGTGATGCCCCAGCCCATGTTTTACTTTGAAGGTCATTCGCCAAACACCACAAACAGACGAAGTTTAAGTCATGTTTGGCAGGAAGGAGAGATAAAAGGACCTCGCGTATCATACCTGGCCGGGGGCTTTGAAGGGATGGACAACTCCATCAGAATCTTGACGGATATGTTGGAGGTAACCTGGAGATTATTTCTGGCGGTGGAGAGAAAATTGAAACCCCGGGGATGGAGTTTGAAGGGTTGAAGGGTAGGCGCGAGACTCCCCTGCTAACGTGCGACTATCATAGCAGTCTGCGGGTACAGTGAGGTTGTCCGGACACTTGCATCCGGAGCGCTGGCGCCCACCCCGTTACCCGCCTCTTCGCCCGTGGAAGCCTCTTTGGAGCCCAAGAAGTCTGTCTCCTTTGCGGACTCAGAGACACCCAACGGAAACGACGCCCCCAGAAGAAGAGACCCTCAGACAAGATCCCGAGAGCGGCAACCAGACCGGCTTGCCAGCCCCAGTCACCAACAGGATGGCTGCTTTGACTGTCACTACATCATCTGGCCTGACTGCGTATTTTGTGCGCTGTCATCACTGCTGTCCCGAGCCCGTGGAAAATGGTCAGCTCACAGTCAATCAGGACCAGGCTTTTGGACTATGCCTTTGAACGAGCAAGGTTTGCCCGAGAGGTGGATTTTGACCTGTCTGCATTTGGGCTAAACATTGGCTAACTATAGTATATAGTAAGTGCCTGCAAGTTGGCTATAGCCTAATCACCTATGTTTTGTCTGAACACCACCGACGTTGCCATAACAGCCATATTTCAAAAACCCACATGTGTGGGGAACTTAATTGTCCTAGGATTGTAAGTGATGCATATATGCATAGACGTCGATCCTGCCCGGCGCGCGAATGATCAGAACACTTCACCCAAGCCTCCTAATGGGCCACCTATTCCTTGGGTTAATCCTGGCTGTTTGTTGGGTTAGGTCGGGTCCTTGGCCATGTTAGTTATTAGTTGAGGAGGCGGTACCGCACATAGTACCCCGACCAATGAATTACCTGGATTTTGAAATTTTGGTGATACTTCTAATTTCGTATTACCATGTTCTAATTAGGCGAAATTCTGGAACAGTTATTGCTATTAATAAAAAGGGAAAAGCGGAAGCCTGTCCAAACCAAAAAATTTGGGGGATTTTGAGTGCTCTTAGATTACAGTATGGCTTGGTTTGAATGTTTGAAAAGTTAGAGATAATATTTAACTGCAGCTTTAGAACGGCTGATCTTTCTCCCCAGTCCTCCACATACCGGCACCCGTTATTCTGCTACCTCAAGTACATCCCCCCTCTCCTTCACCATTGGTCACCTATAACGATATAAAAACCATGAATTTTCCTTCCAGTACCGGGAGTGCTCTGTCCAGCCCTCCGGTTGCTCTGCTAATACCAAGTCTTCCCAGAATTTCATTGATAAGGGGAAGGCGTCCGGTTTCAGAATACTGGGCCGTGCATGAATTAGACCTCCGAAATCGGTAGTCCTTTTAGTTGAACTTGGGCCGTTGTGTCAAAGAAAATCATGTTTTGCCCCTGGACCATACCTTTTAACTCGCCACTTCAGCCACCCTCTGCTCTCATAATTAATCCTGTTTTGTACTGTGACCATTTAATATTTATCTATTTATTTATTTATCCCTTTACTACCCTTCTTTTGTGCACAAACCCGGTGGGTTCGTTAGGTTGGCCCGCGCTATGCTTCATTGGGTTGGATTGGTCAGGCTGAATATTTGGGGGGCATGGGCCAGGTCGGGTCGGCCCTTTTCCGACCCAGGTTAGCCCATTGGAAGGCTTGACTTTACCAGGTATCATATAATCATTGCCTTGTAGTTAGTACCGCCTCCACAACTTCATCCTGCCATCCCAATTGTTGCTGATAACATTTGGCAACATCTCGTCATAGCAGATAAATTTATCAATGGTGCTACTCGTCACTGAGGTGAACACACATGCATGTGTTCATGATTGACAAACCCGGATCCTGGAGTGCATGGAATATCAGAGCGGAACACACGAGAGACCACCTTAGACAACACCCTAGATGTGCACAACATTGGGTTACACTCTGAACAGCTGGGATGAGTTGGAATTGGGATACAAAGTTGGCTTATGAGATGGGAAAAAGCGTGATACTCGAACAACCCAGTATGCCCCTCTTGTAAATCTCACTACATGAAAACCATAACATCAAGAGTTCATATTGGAGCAACCTGTGCTGGGGCAAATTGTATGATTTGTTTTTGGAGTTTATATAGGATGAAAGTGGAGACTGATGTGGCAGTGGAGATTGCGAGGAGGATTTCAAGATATGAAAACACATTACTCTGGGATGGAGTTGACCTCCAAGAGCACCTGTGAGCCTGAGGGTAGTGATTTTCGTACCCACGCCGGGGGGGGGGAAGGCTGCAAGATGGGTCTGTCCATAGTGGTGTTTATGTTTTGCTTTGTTTGGTTGGGATTAACTGGTTATATGCCGGTTCGGTGACACTAGGATAATGAATTGAATTGAGCTTATGAGTCAAGTGTGTGGAGATTCTTAGTCCCTCATTTGGGTTGCTCGGTCAATACCACTACCGGTACCTTAACCGAATACTTTCGGACCTCGAGGGTCACCGGACGCAAACCGCCCAAGGACAAAAGCAATCTGTTGGATTTGTATCCACAACACCCCAGAAGCTTTACTTAGTACTCGGGTATGGACGTAGGCTATGAGACGGACAGGGGCTTCACGATGTCAGAGCTTCCTATCCTTCCTGGCATCACTCCCACCAAATTAAATCAATTTTTCCCTCTGATGGTAGCTGCGCCGGGACTCAAAAACCCCTGTCCGTCCCATCACCTACGTCCATACCCGAGTACCATGCCTCCCTTGGCTGGCTGAACCTGTGAAACAACCGAGAAACTACTAGTAATCCTTTGTACTGCACCTCAAATCCCCATTTTTAGCAATCTAGTTTTTCTCTAAGCCCCGGGCCAGACTTGGGCGCCTTTGCGTTATGATACTTGAGAAATTGTAACCTCATGTTTATAACATGACGTAACTTTATACTCTAGCACTTTAACTTGAATAATTGTAGCAGCACTTACTCTCTACTGACATTACACAGTAAGGGCTTCCTTTACGCATTAAATTGTAAAATCTTATTTCCGTTCCATGACCCCAACCGTTGGACTTTTTGGGGGGATGCGGAGGTTCCCATCATCGGATCGGATCCGATGGAGATATGTTGTGAAGGGACCTACTAAACGGTTCTGCATAGGTAACTAAGTACAGTACACGGCAAAGTTCCTTAATCCAATATATTTATTATCCTGGTAGTACCTATCCGGCGTCCACCAGTTCCGTACACTGCTTGGGTAGTGACGAATCTTGCCGAGAAAGTACTCGTTGTACACCTATCATATTATATTACCCGAACCGAACATCTAACACATCTTTTTCTTTTCATTTAATACTTGTAGATGAGAAAATAGTCGATCCAGAGTGCTCCGGTAGGGGGATGCAGTAGTCCCTTCGTTATAATTATCCTAGTGCTTGTGAAGTAAAAACCATGTCTAAGGTAGCAGGGTAATTTCAGGACTCTGACCAACAAGGCAAATCAATCCCCGGGCCAAATTAGGTACTAAAAGCCTCTGGTTACGTGCGCAAACACACATGGATAAAGTTTCGTCGAATCTTCCCTAGATAAGGCGTTTATTTGATATCACTATTTGGACGCAACTGAATGCCCTTCACAACAAGTAACTAAGGTCCTTGGAAAATTACCAACCACGAGCAGCCCCAAATAGCTCGATAGATTTGTGAGCAAAAGAATAGGAACTGTGCGAGTAGAAAACACTCAAGCGAGCAATTGTTCTAGCAGATCGGACTTATTTAAATATTATAGACACTTTCCAACCAGCTCGATGAGTTGGATGAACGCGTCCCTCTCTAGTTCCGCCTTCATCAGTCCCAGTCCTAAAACTACCATCCTTCCTTCATCCCTGTTTCTCATGGATACGGCTGAAGCAAGCTGGACTGCGATCAATTGCCCTAACGCTTCTCTTGATTCGACCGCTCCGCCAAGTAATGTGGTGGGTGTTAAGTGGGTAAGTGGGAGTAGACCATCTTCGTCTTCAGCCGATTGAGCCCCGATGAGTGCTGAATTGTTGGTATCCAACGGTACATGAAACTATCACCATCAGCATAAACATCGGCTTTGCTGAAGGGAAAGTGGGGGGTACCTACCCACTGAGCAAGCCTGCCGTCTTGGCTTAGAGTAATCATTATCTTATCAGCAAAGTAAACCACGGTTGATTCAGTGGAAATTCCATCGATCACAGAGGTCGCCCGCTTGGTAGAGGCAGGAAAGGGGCTTTTGAGCACAGATTCCATGTTGCTTGAGCCAGCTGTCGTTGCCGTTGAGGTCGATGAGTTGACAACAGGGGGTTCGGATCCCCTAGACTTTTGGGTTTGCGCCGATGGACCCGCTGATGAGTTGAGTAACAATGAGTAAAATAATTAGGGCTAAAGGCAGGAGATATGAAACCCCATACCCAATCAAGAAAGCAAGAGGGCAAATCAAGGGTTTCATACACATACGGTATATATGGGGCTCTTTTCTGGAAACTTTGCACACCCTAAATGTTACATAAGCAGCTAATCCTTGACGCGTGGTAAACGCGCCGCCAAATTTGTCGCGTTGCTTGCTCAATTACTTCCTGCACTCCTTTCTCTCTCCTTTACTTCTTTCCCAGCCAACGCAACGCATCCCGAAACTCACGCTCACCATCCACCAATTTACCCTTAATCTGATTAACACCCGTCAATACCTCATACAATATCCATAAGAGTAGCTACCTACTTCTTGTCCCCATAAAGTTGCCTTTGCTGATTTCTCCAGTGTTGGAAGCTCGCCTTGAACAAGCAGGTGTCTTGAAAAAGGTGCATAGCTGCCCCTCCTCTGTGTACACCCACTGCTTCAGATACGCAACTAACTTTTGCAATTTCTTACAGGTTGTTGATGCAATCAAAGATCTCGTCCAAGATTGTAATTTCGATTGCAATGATTCGGGAATTGCCCTCCAGGCTATGGACAACTCACACGTTGCGCTCGTTTCTATGCTTCTCAAGTCTGAGGGATTCAGCCCGTACCGTTTGGACCGAAATGTCGCCCTGGGTGTCAATCTCACATCTCTTACAAAGGTCCTCCGCTGTGCCCAAAACGAGGACATCTTGACTTTGAAGGCGGAAGATGCCCCGGACACCTTGAGTCTTGTCTTTGAGAATGCCGAAAACGATCGTATTAGCGAGTATGAGATCAAATTGATGGATATCGATCAGGAACATCTAGGAATTCCCGAAACTGAGTATGCAGCGGCAATCTCAATGCCGAGTGCTGAGTTTCAGAGAATCTGCAGAGATCTGAATCAGTTGTCTGAGTCTGGTATGCCATGGATCCCATCTGGCCAAGTCGGAACAAATGATGACTAAAAGCTTATAGTCGCCATTGAAGCTTCTAAGGAAGGTGTCAAATTCTCCTGCAGTGGTGACATCGGAAGCGGATCTGTCACCCTTCGCCAGCACAATAATGTCGATAGACCAGAACTATCCACCAAAATCGAGCTTACCGAGCCAGTTGCACTCACCTTCTCTCTGAAATACCTTGTCAACTTCTGCAAAGCGAGTGCTTTATCTTCCGTTGTTACTCTTTCACTCTCTAACGAGGTACCCCTATTGGTTGAGTGAGTAACCCCAGTTGCCTAAGATGTGCTCACTGGTTAATCGAGGTGGTTTAGGTATGCAATGGGCAGTGGCTTCGTCCGGTTCTATCTTGCCCCGAAGATTGGGGAAGAGGAATAAATGGGCTATCCGGTCCGAAGTAGTGGCAATGCTATTTCTATGACCTGGTGATTTGAACCCGGCCCGGATCATTCCCTTTCTTTGTGTACTTTTTATGTCCAAAATTCAACGACGAGTTTTCCAGAACAGCTTCCTCTTCTCTGTAATTTAGTCCATACTGTAACGGTTTGCCTTTTTTCGCATTTATCTCTTCCATGTGGAGTTAGCTCTCTGTAGCGGAATGCTATTTATTCCATGCCAATCATTCAATAACCTACTAGTACAATACTGTGCGGATATCACTACCAGTATTATGTCGCTCGACAGGGACAACCCGTTAATAGCTGCATAGACTATTCCAGCCGATACTTGTATTGCCGTGCGCCGCGAAATCTTCAGCCCGGGTCCTCGTTGCTGGCGAACCAACAGGTCACTGAGCCAGGTTATGATGATTTAGGATATTTCCAATTTTTTTTTATCCTAGGCTTAACAGTTTGCGAGCTCCAATTCTGTTCAGAAGTTATGCGGAGATGTGGATTACCCCATTATAACAGAAATTGCTCAAGCAACGCTTGAGTTGATACAACTTTTGGAAGTGGTCTCAATGTCAACTCGGCCGATATGGCTGTGCCTAGAATCTGCTGGAGGGTTCCCACAGGCCGGTAGCCTAGAAAGCCCAAGAGCGTTAGGCTGTCCCACCAGAGTCAAACTGCAAGGGAGTTTCACCTGTGCACCTACTGTACTTGTACTCACTCACCTGTGGCTTCAAGCCCACTCGGTACTACCGGTATGCATAAGAATCATCCCCTCCAGGGACCTCCAGGGAAGATATTATAACCAGGATGTGCGATTACAAGCACACTGTGTGCACACTAGGAAGTTAGAGATCCAGACAGAAGCGAAATTAGGGTTTGCAGTACCGTACATCTGTCCCGGGCTGGTGGTGCTGTCTCGCTGCTGCTAACTACCGTAGCCCAAGCGACATTACAAAAAGCATCAAAATCCCATTCAGAGGACGATCCGGCCTTAACGAACCAAACTGGAGTCACTATAGGTTCGTGAACAATCAGCGTCTGATGGCCAAGCTCACCGGAAGCTGCTCCTACCTGTAGCACTCATATCTCTATATGGGGTCAGACAACCAGTTCTCCTACAGTAGATACCCAGGGGGAAAGAAAGAAAAAATCGAGGTACAGTACTCTTACAGTACCGGCACCGCATGTATGGCACGAATATTATCAGACCGGTACAAGTACCTAGAAAAGAGCCGGGTGGGTCCACCCTTAACCGGTAGACTATGGTGTCTCATGCTCACCATTGAGTAACTGAAGATTCAGATGCAGAAGGGCCCACACTTGGCACTAGCCCTGCCTGGAACCATTCCGTACCAACTCAGTGCAGATGGGATATCTATGACACCATATTCTATGGTATGGCCAAATTCTTCAAAACAAGGGCACTTCCGGGAAACAATACCGGTGCCGGTACTCGTACTAACCCGTGCATGGTGGCAATAGAGTTTATGGTGCTTTGGGCTGTTATTGGGCCTTGGGATCATCGGACCCATTGCGAGACCATAACTGCGGGGCTAAGACCTGGTCACACGTGTAGCTGTAAGGCTGGTGCACTCCGCCAGGGTCGTTGGTGTCCTCTTGTGACTCTGGCTCAGGTCAATTGGCCTTGTTCACATCCTGCTATACCCTACGTTCAAACGTCATCTAAACAAGAAAAGTTCTGTTAGCATTCTGGGCGAAATACTGGCAGAGAGTAGGGCCAAGGTGAAACCTCAACAATTAGTTAAGCCACCCTACCCGTAATCGCTAGATAGCACTCAAGTTGAATTGAAGTTTTTCTTAATGGAGACACCAGGAAAAAAAAATACAAGTTCGGTTTGGCGAATTAAGTACTCGGGTGCAATGATATCATGCCAATTGGTAATAGGAGCATCGTGATAGTCAAATGTTGATTTTGTATCAATAGCGACGTTTCCTTGCAATGATTTTGACCAAAGCGCTCGGTCCACCGTCAAACGCTCTGATCTCCGGCCGACTAAATTCTCTCCTAAAGCAAGCCTTACTGTGTGGAGAAACTATGGTATCCCTCATGGGTGACAAAAGACATTGGACGGCGATTTTTTTTGATAAGCTACATGGCTTCAGAGGGGACGACACTCTCGGCCGAACATCATGCGTGGCGGCTTTTTGTGATGTATCCAATGGCAGTTCCATTGAGGCTGTATCATATCATAAGTATGAGTACAGTGCAGCACACTCGATACAAGGACTGTCTCGGGGCATGTTGATCTGTGAGATCATACCGTGCTCGAGCACTCGAGTACTCGTACTGGCCCTAGATCAGGGCAAAAGGCTATGAAGAACAAGTCACCGGTTGGTTATACATACACCAAGGATTTTTTTTTAGAACAGAAACGGTGCCAGTTTAATCACTTAAGCTAGCCCCATTCTTAAACCCTTCCAACAGTAACGAACAGCATATCATACCCTCGTAATTCTCTAATATTTGTAAAAAAAACAACTAGGTCAGCATATACTGCCAAGTCACCTTGCCTAACACCTGCGAAAACACGAAATACAGGTGCCCTTATGTGAACGGAGGTTTGCGAGAGGTTTTAAAGGGCCTGACTTCGTGGGTTGTGTGGGATTTGGTTTCAAAGACTACAGAAAATCACCTTTGAACTCCCGGATGGTCCCCTTGTTTTCCGAATTTTTCGGGAGTATCTTTTCTTGATATCACAGCAGGATCGTATAGAGCACTTTTGGAACAGGAACCCGTTACCAATGTACCTTTCGGTCACACTTTTGATAGTTACGGCTTGCTACTACTGATATTATTTGTTCATCAACTAACCGCAGGTGCATGCGGCCCGGCCGGCTCTACGATCGTCAGAGAATTACAGGAATGAGACTCCTTCTGCATAGTAACATCAAAGGCTGTGTGATGTGCTTGGGAGTACATTCTAAATGTGTAGATCCAATTTCAGATCGATGTTCCTAGAAGTTGGAACCCCTGCCGCCTGGTACTGTACCAGTACAGTGCTCGGACGACCAAGAAGGCGGGAGCTAGCCTCCGGTTTGACCGGCTCGCCAGTTACCCACGACAAATGTGGAAAAATCCGCCTCAAGCGAAAGCCAAGCCAAACTCATCCTTCCATCTCTAGACCTCTAAATTAGGAGATGGTTGGCGGTATCAAGAAATTGCCCTTGTGGTTATGATACTTGATGAGGTGCCGGTACGGTGGTGGGCAATAGCAACAATATCTCTTCAGGGAAATACCCCAGTATCTTTCTTTGCCTCTGTGGCGTCACACATGCCCAGCCCTCGGGCAACAGAATTCCGTTTGTGAATGCCCGAGTGCCGTCTTGGCTCTCGGTTAAAGCTCAGGTTTTGTCCAATAGAACTTGGCCTTAGGGCATACGCACTTGTGGATGAACCCTGGACGTGCTCCCCTTTTCATGTGAGACTAGAAATAATTCGCCAACACCGGACGTGGGAGCGTGGATTGACATCGTCAAAACCCCAGCATTCCCACCAGCCCCAAATGTGGGGCCGGCACTGAGGGAAAGCAAGAAAAAGATGTTCCCGGGAAGTTCCGCAGGAGTCTATGAGACAGGGGGGCTGAACACTGTACGAGTACTGATACCAATGGCAAGGTTTGAATCACTTGTCAGATTAGCTCTTCGATCTCAACACCAAACAAAAAGGCACCACCATCTTGAACGGTGCAATTGGCATCGGGACCATGTCTGTGGCTCTGCTGTGAGCGAAGGGATCGGGACACAGGAAAGTCACATTTTCCCACGGACCTAGGTTTCAAGAAGGGGTGAAAATTGCCCGAGTTGCAGGAAAGTTGTAACATTCGAACAAAAACAGCAGGGTAAACCTGGGCAATCGGGGTTGCCCTCTACCGATCACTCCGCGATCGTGGGGTGGTCCGCGTCTGTTTTGACCTTCACTGAATATCACTCGAGAGATAAGAGTGGCTTTCTCCGCCTGTGCTCCCCCGAATGTGTATGCATTGTGGAGGTGCCGTGGAGCAGGTTTTTGTCAACACACACACCCTGACCAGCTAAATCTGCTGGTAAGAATAAAAAATCCTTGTTAGTGGCCTCCCTTACCGCACCACACCTACCCTTCGCGCGTCAACGCTAACCAAAAATCTTGGGTGTGCGTTAAAACTGTATTGGTTGGGCGACGTTTGTGAGATTTCAACCTGACAATAGTGGTTAGTTGAGATATCGTACTAGCTCCAAATGTTTCTATAAAAGCGCCAAATACTAATATGAAAGCTTCTAGGTGAAGCTCGAAGAGCCTTGAATCCGCTGCTCACGCCTCTTTGCCAGGAAGAACGCCTGTACCGACTTTTGGTGAGATGGTGAGAATAAAGCCCGAGTTTATCACCAAAAAACCCGGTGGAAGGGATTTTTCTTGGCAAAACCGCGCAAGTACAGTTGATTGTGCATTGTGGGAATCCTGTGGCCATATTTGTACGCCACCAGTTGACCTAATTAGAGAAATTGAGTCCAGGAGTCACAAGAAGTCACTCGCGATGGCAGGAGCTGCATGAAATCCTTCTAAAACATTTAGCATTGGGAGTCAGATCCCTGGCTATCTGTCTGTCATGCCGCATTGCCACCTCTCTGACCCTCCCGTGATCAGTGACCAGCAGCGACCAAAGCCTCATGTGAACATAACACTGTCATTACTGGACATTAGGCGAATCGATCGAAAACCAGTATTTGAATGGCATTTTCTAACAAATCAGGCAGCAATTGTCCTTTCCCTTGAATCCTCGAGGAAGTCTATAGCGAGCGTCTGTGCAATGTCACCAGACTTGTTATCATAGTGGGGCGCCGGGTCACCCTCCATACCAATCATAGTCTACCGGCCATTGGGCTCCGCTGCCAGTGGTCATATTTGTCAATTTAAGCCTTGCCGAGTGCTTTACGTGGGAGAAAAGAGCTGGTCTACTCGATCCCAGCAAGGTAGCAGACCGCCAGCAGGCACTTCTTGCCAAGGAACCCGGTTTCCCCCCATAAGTTCAACAGCAGGGATCAGCTTCTCGTGAGGGCCCAAGAACGCAGAAAACTCTTCCCTGATCATATCCTAAGCTTAACTAGTTGTCACAAGGCCGAAAATCACCCCGAACACGATTAAACATACCCCTCCCCCCCCCCGGGAAATGTCTCGACGGTTGCTGCCAAAACCTTCTACCAACCCGGGCGACGAAAGACGGTCACTACAGCCTCTAGAGAGGCGGGTGAAGAGGAACTGCGTGGCAAACGCTTGTATGCCGTGTCGGAAGCGGAGGTCCAAGGTTAGTTTCCCGGAACTACGCATGACACGAACGGGTTCCACCACGGCATGGTGACATGGGCTTACACGGGCAGCAAATTGGCAGTGCGATGGAAAGGTACCCTGTGCGTCATGTGTTTCTAGTAACCGCTCCCAGTGCGTGTATGATAAACAAAGTGACGGCCGTCGAGCTGGCACTCTAAAACGACATATCAATGAGCTATCTGAGGACAACAACACCTTCAACTGCATCTTGGGAACGATAAGGAGTGCTCCAGATGAATATGTCCAGCCTATCATCACCCGGCTAAGGTCAAACGAGGACTACACCGACATTGCTAATTTCATACGAGATCACCCCTTCGAGACATCAGAACCTACAACGCCAACAACCTCAACACAACGGGCATCCTCCATAACCCTATCGGCGGACATAGAAATCTCGGAGACTTCGACAGATTACACGGAGTATGCTGAAGGGAGCCAGTTTCTTGAAAATTCCTTCCGCGGGGCGAAGGGAGACATCGCGGGAGAGTATTACTTGCTGAACGTGCAATCATGGACAAATGTGACGGGGGACACCGAATTCATTGGACACCTCCTTTCTCTCTACTTCACATGGGAGCATACTTACTACGCTTTGTTTTCGGAAAAGATATTTCTCGAAGACCTTGTTTGTGGTAGGAAAGAGTTTTGCAGCGAGCTTCTGGTGAACGCTGTCCTCTCACTGGCATGCACGTTTTCTGAAAGGACAGAGGCTCGGGCCAACCCGAGCGACCGGGGGACGCGGGGTGACCACTTTTTCGCTGAAGCACTACGGCTGCTCGATGGGGAGAACATGATAGAAAATATCAGCGTTACGGTTATTCAAGCTCTCGCGGTAATGGGGATTCGTGAAGGGGGGTATTCACGGGATGTGAAGGGATTGATGTACTGTAGCCTGGCATTCCGTCTGGCTTCAGAAAGGGGATTTTGCGAAGGGATGAATGGGGATCCCAGCAACCCCAAGGTTGAAGTTCGAAGGATGACGTATTGGGGGTCATATTGCCTCGACCTGTAAGGAAGCCTTATCCATCGGGGTATTGCCCTTGTCCTGTGATCCGACGCTAAGAATCTGCGGTGTAGGGCGTGGTCGTTCGTTTTAGCACGACTTCCTCAGCTCGAAGGTGAACGGACGCCTCTGCCAATGCCCCTGGCGGGCGATCTAAGAGGCGAGGGGGGAGGGGGGAGCTCGAGTAGTGAAATCCATGCATGGTCCCCCGGCTCCACACTGTTTGACCAGAATTTTAGCCAATTTATAATCTTGTCTGGGATTGTCAAGGACATCACCTTCGCGTTTTACGCACCCAGACAGGTTTTCACTGTGAGGAAGCTCCATGAGCTATATGACCGTTTGAAAGCTTGGAAGGTTGAGCAACCCCTTGAGTTGCAGTTCTCCCCCAGGAACCGAGTGCCGCACTCCCTGTGGCTCCAGTAAGCAATGCTTCCAATCCATCACTCTGAAAAGGTATTTCTAAAGCATCCTGCCATTAGCATGTACCACCGGGCTGCAGTCATCACTCTCTTTCGACCATTCCTGGAGGTGAGGAGTGACAATTTGGTACTCTCTCCCAAGGCAGTCTGCCTTGAGACAGCAAGGGAGCTCCTGGCTATATCCGAGCAATTTCGGAGCTATCACGGTTGGCAAAGGTTCCCGAATACCGTTCCCCACTTTGTCTTCACAGCTTGCCAAACCCTCCTGCTCGATGCACAAAACGAGGCGGACGGCTTAGTTCGAGGCGTCGAAACCTTGCTTGAGATGAGAAATTGCTGGCCTATTGCTGGGCTTATGCTCCTAATGATCTCCATATTCGCCGAGAAATGGGAAGTTGATCTTCCCGCGGAGGTGCGAGAGCACTTGGACAAACTATCTAAAGATCAATTGAGGGTTGCCATGGCCTTTAGCGGTTGGCCACCTGTTCGACTGGAGGAAGAAGCAACTTGGGCTTCTTTTCGGCATTTGTCACTTTCTGATGGTTAAAGATATCAGGAACTTGGAGTTGAGATTTCTATTTGGATTTATTTTTTTCTCCTATTTTTTTATGCTTCTTTCCCTTATTCTACTATTTTCCTCTACTATTTCCCTCTACTATTTCCCCCTTATTTCCTTTTTTTTGTTTCCGTTCACTGGGCGGTTGTGATAGCCCTGGAGTAATATTTTTGGACAATCCATGTTCCCAGCAATGGGCTAAGTATCTGAAATCGCAAATCTCCCGGCCCACTGTCTTTGCTTCCCACTTTTTGGCGTTGGAAATAGGGAATGTAAGTACAGAGGATTGTCGACTGATTGATTTTTTTTGCTTGTACCTTATTGCCGGGATACTGAATTGGAACAGTACATGAAAGCAGGAACCGAATAAGTTAGGGCTTTGTTTGGTGGGGCGAAAAAAAAGAAAAACACTAGGTGTGGTTGCATAATGGGTTGGTTACCACAGGGAAATACGGTACAGATACAGTAACTCGATTTTTCTTTATTCCTTTCTTTTGCTCCCCTACTCTCTCTCTCTCTCTCTCTTGAGTTACTTCTCATCTCTCCTAAAAAGCTTTGAAGTGAATTAATCGATTTACTACCTGCCGGGTCCTATACCGAGAAACAGACCTCAGTCAATTCACTTCTTAAGGGGTTGAAGCAAGTGACGTCAAAATTGGAGGATCTTGGGGCGACTTTCTCAATTGCTGGGTTTTACGTTTATTCGGGGAGAGGGTGGGGGGCAGGCCACAGAAGCGAACAAGCAAGCAGCACCCTCCGAGTGCCGCTCTTGAACTGAAAGTCATATGAGCCACTTTTGAGATTTGTCTCAAGTAGCTTTCAGCTTGGTGCCCTCTCTTTTCCCACCCTTCCTGGTAGTTTTCACTTCATCTACTTGAGTGGGATGCCACATAGAGTAAAGTGTTTCCTAAACGTGCATGAATAACCTCAGAACACACAAGTAGCTTTCCCGAGGGTGGGACTAATTGGGAGTCTACTATTTGGTGAGTGGAGGAGTGATTGATAGGGTAGGTTGGGTAGATTTTCGACCCCCCTTCGTTCTCTCTTCCCCTTCTTCCCCATTCCTCCTCCACCGCCACCAATGGTGATGCTGCTGGGGTGCACCAGGAATTCCTTGAATAATATCATATTTTACAATATACTTGGTTACTCCACATGACGCGACAAAGGGATCATGGCGAGAAAGAGGTCAGTTGGGGTGTGCGTTTCTACATCGCTAGATGTAGATTAAGAGTAGAGTACTTCTATAGAAGGGAGGGTGTTATGGTAAGAAGAGCGCAAAGCCAACTTCTCACTACTACTGCTGCCGTTACTTCTGGGGGCTTGCCTAGTTCTTAGCTCCAGGGTGCATGTCGTGCTCGATGAGACTAGGGACTTTGCGATTTCGCATCCAGAGTCAATCCTGGCGTTCTGGTTGATCTGGAACCGCATTTGCCTTGCGTCCAGAGCCCTTTCCCAAAGTCCCTATTGTACTCGTACAGTACTATCGCACGGCAACTAAAAGGGGTTCATCGATTTGTCTATCATAGAGTTCAGCTGGTATAAATTCTCCGCACCTATGGGGGGGTACTGTAGTATGGGATGGCTTGGTACTAGTAGAAGCGATTGGACAGCTTTCGAAACTGCCAACAAAAGAAAAGTTTCTTAATTTACTGCACTGCATACATGAAAGTCGCAGCACTGGTACTGTACCTTGCTGCACAGTAGAAACTTGGAAAAACTTGGCCTTCTATCGGTATCCTTTCCTGCTCCAGCGAGAACCACCGACGGGAACAGCAAGAACAATAACCTAATATGCCAAAAACGGCTCCCGTATATGTTACTATTGCATTGTACCGTCTGTCTGTGCGTCTGTCTGTGCGTCCGTCCTTTCCTTGTTAGAAAAAAGAGAAAGGAAAACTTGGTCGGGAAGAGTTCGTGATCATCTCGATCTGAGGATTCTCAACCTGCCTGTTCACCATATCCGCCCCCCCGCCCCCCCACCCGCCCAACAGTAGTTCAGGGTTCAAAGGGTAAACTACGGTAATCTAAACCGAATTGGTCCCTTTCATCGATTCCCCCACATTTTTTTTCTTCTTCTTTCCCTCGTTTTCCTTTATGATACGGTATCCTGATCTGATCGCATTTAGAATTTCCCCACTGTTGTCGACAGGGGAGGGAAGGGGAGGGGGCGAGTCCTGCCGGTACGTGTATCACGGCCATCGTATCGTGCGTACGGAGAATTGATGGGGGCGATACCTTCCCAACGTGGGCGAGGCCTTGATTGCCGAAAGCCTTACAAAATACTCGAGTATAAATAAATAAAGAAATAATATAATAAAATCCTTTCACTGAATATCGGACGAATGTTTTTCCCATGGGCAAATTGCAGTGGAAAAGACTATTATCGGTCTTTAAGGTCATTTTTTCCAGATCCCAGGATCGCCATCGCTGTTCCACACAAAAACCCTTCAAGTTAATTTAGTCCGAAAACGGGGGAAGAGCGAGCGCCCGAGTACGGCATTCGAGTACGGCACTCGAGGAGGAGAAGACGGAGAACGGGGTCTGAATCATTATGAACTGGACTGCGTATCACATTCACCCCCAACCATGATATCTATCTAGTATGCAGCTTACTACATAATACAAGCCCTCCCCTTGCCGCCGCATCTTCAGAAGCAAGGAAAAGTCTTTCTGTTACGGTGGATATGGGGGTAAAGATATCCTTCCCTTCCTTGCTTTTGAGAATTACTTTATTATGGCTCGCTATGAAATCATGCCTTGGAGCAGTTAGGTATTGTGACGTCGATTACGGGTAACCTATCGGGGGGCGGAAGGTTCGCACGCAATCCGGACCTGGAAGCCAATGCTGGGATGGGCGGAGATTCGGATGGTTCCAGTTAATACGGTGCTGTGACATTGGACGGATTGTACGGTTCTCTGTTCAGAAGAATGCGCGTGAGCATTGTAGGAAATATCCAGGATTTGGTACCCCACGTCCTAGAGCGGTCTCTGGAGGGTACAGCACCGGTATGGGAGGCAGGTATACAAGTGTTATGCGGTCCGGTCATGTCACGCCCTACGTAAGAACGAGATAGTCTACAAGGCAGAATCGTGCTGTGGAGAGAGGGAAGGGGGGAAAAAGAAAAAGAGAGGGAATTCAGTCACTACCGCACCGCCACCGGTAGATCGAGAATGAAGAGGAAGGAGGAAGGAAAAAAGGAAAAAAAAAAATCTACCATTTCATGTACAAAGGCCTTCATTCCCGCGCGTGGTGCAGCGGGGGCGCACTCTGTCCGCTCGCGCTGATCTTGACAGGAGAGATCCTCAGAGCGTTAAGGTACTTGTACAACCGGCGCCACATCAGGATACGAGCGACGCAAAACCGCAAGATTGGGATCCGGAGATGTCCATTTCGCCTCTTTTTTTTCCCTCCTTATCCCCGGAGGAAAGTTCCGTACTCGGATACTCGAGTAGATAGGATAGGGTATGTATGACATGGGGGCATTCTCGCTTGTCCTGTGGGAGGGTGGGTTTCCATTTGATGCAAGTATCATGACTCTTACTTGAGTACAGTACCGGTACCCGAGTACCCGAACAGGCTTGCTATTACCTGCAAAATGCGTCTTAGATTTTATTTTTCGTTATATATTTCTATGGTTCTTTTTTTTAATAGCCTTTTATTTTTTTTATTTTTTTTCCTGAACACGAGACTATTTGCACAAGCACGTCGGGTGCTTGATCCCGATGGATAGGCGATCCGGATTTCAAGTACAGTAAAGTATTGTACAATACTCGAGCAGAACCTAGAAGCAAATGGTACTGTAGTGTATCCCGGACCCCTTCTCCAGAAGGGAAGAAGATCGGCCACAGGTCTTGGTGACATGCAAGTAATCGCTAATATTCTAGGGGGACATCAGTGGAGTTTTGGGTTGTGGTCAAGGACTTGAGTCCGGGGTCCCCATTATGGTCAGTTGAAGCCATTGACCCAGTGGACCCGACTTAACCGGGACCTCTGGTATCCGACCTGCTGGAGCAAAAAAGGTGCCATAAGTGTCTCTGGAACGATCAAAGGTGTTTACAAGTACACTACCGCGCAGTAGCAAGTATGTACAGTACTCGCACAGTACTCGAGTAGTGTCGGACAATGAGAGTCAACCTCCCAGCCAACCTCTAATATGATCAGCTTCAGACTGCCCTGTCGTAACAACCACAACCTCTAAGTTCAAAAACTTGTGTAAAATTGTTTATTTTATGATTGCCTACTTGAGCGGAGAACGATTTGGGGGGATTTCCACTTGCCATGGTGCTGTGGCGGTTATCTTTGTATGAGAGCTGCCAAATTAACATATGGCAGGCTAACTGTATCTAGTAATATCTTTGCGCCGCCACACATAATGAGGTAATTTATTCGATGATATTTGCTCCTACAGAACCAATATAACCTAAAAAGAAAAATTGTTTGCTTAATAAGCGACTTGAATTAACAATTTTCAGTGCAGTGTCCACCGCTCAATTATCTAACGCAGAGAAAGAGAAGAGAAAAAGCTCCTGTTTTTGTCACGTGCCCGAGAGTTCAGTCCAAAATGAATGAACCCGACATCTCGTCATTCCCAATCACTCGGCCTAGCTAATCTAATCTGATCAATCGCCTACAACGCCTTTTCAAACTTGTAACTTGTAACTACTTCCTGCCGAGTTCTCAACAACAGTATCAGACAATCCACGGATATCCGAGCCCGAACAACATGGCAGGCCAGGCTCCCCCGGATGCCTTAATTGACGGTGGGCATGTTCTCAATCCCCTTGAACCCGCCGGACTTACTGATTGTTATCTCTTTCTCCACCACAGCGCAAAAATCTCTCGAGTACTGGAACAGTGTTGACGCGACACCGAACGGTAACACTCCAACCCCGCCATTGATTGCCGTCCCGGCTGATGTGTTTCTGAACTCTTTGCCGTCATAGGGATGCTCGGAGGCTTCGGATCTGTTTCTCGCGTCGATCTCGTCGGTTCCCGTGTATTTATAGCGAAGCTCAAGCTTCCCGGGACCCCCGCCACGTTGGCGAAACCGAGGGTTGCTGATTGCGGCGCTGGCATCGGGCGCATTACGAAGGGATTTCTGTCTAAGCTGAATAGTGGCAGGGTTTGCGTGGATATCGTTGAACCGGTTAAGAAGTTTACCGATCAGGCGAGTGTCAACTTGAAGGAGGAGATCGACGACGGCCGGGTTGGCGAGATTTACAACGTTGGACTCGAGAATTGGATTCCGGAAGAGGGTGCATACTGGGTGATTTGGAAGTGAGTTTGGCTGCCTGGCTCTATGGAATGACGGCGAGCTTGCGGGAGAGTCTAGAAATATCGGAAGTGTTAATTTCCCCCAGTCAATGGTGTTTAGGGCATTTACAGGACCAGCAACTAGTTGACTATCTGGAACGCTGTAAGGTTGGCATAGTTCCCGGTGGGGTCATTGTCATCAAAGAGAACATAGCCCCAGATCCCGATGACATCTACGATGAGGCGGATAGTAGTGTTATGAGGTATTTTATGAGTTCTCTTCTTCTTTTTCTTAGAGTATTTATCGAGGCGGGCTAACGCGACCGGCAGGACCGATCCTAAGCTACGCACGTTGATCAAACAGGCTGGCCTATGGGTGGTACGGACCGAGGTACAGAGGGGCTTGCCTAAACAACTTTACCAAGTCCGTAGTTATGCACTAAAGCCCTTTTGAGGCTACTTATTAGGATACCCTGGGCGCCCTCTATTTAATGTTGAAGAGGTGCTGGATTGGCATGGAGAGCTTGTCAGATGAAATGAAGCTGTTTCCGTTCGACGGAAAATGTGTTGAGACTGCCTTGGTTAAGAGAATGGTCCTGGGGTAGAAGTTTGGAGCCATAATGTACACTGGTGGATGGATGGGCGCTAGAATGGGGGAAACTAGTCAATCTGTAGAAATGCGATCTAGAAAGGATACGACAGGATCTCAGAGAGAGTGTTTGGGCGGACTACGAAATGACACCTTTGTTTATTTTGTAATTTGGTAGTAAAGTTTTTTTTTTAGATAGTATTGTAGGGAGAATACATCATTTAGTTAACAGCCATAGGCTGGAGAAAGGTCTAACGCTACTTACGAACCGGATGAACCTGGTTTGGATATTTCTCGCCCAGAACTTCCAAGAATGCGCCAACAAGGTGAATACTCCCGGTGACGAGGACCTGGACAGGAGCTTTGAAACTCAGGGCGGTAACAATCCCAATGGCCTCTCCGATGGTTGGAACCACGTGTGAAGCCTTGGTAGCCGGAACTACATTATTCCATGCTTGCGCAAGTTTTTTTTGAACCGAGAGATTTTCCAAGGCTGCAGGATCGGTTCCAGCATTCATGAGATCTAAGTTTTAGTTAGCATTGCGTTTGTGATAGCCATTGATGCGGACTGACCAGCTTTTTGGCCTCTCCCCTTGTAAGTAATGTTAGTGCAAAATATGACTTCGTCAAATATCCTCGAGTTGACCCCTAGAATTTCTTTGAGGGAATTTGCTAGGGCGGTAATCAAGGCATCAGAGTCACGTTTTTGCTGGTTGAATATGAGAACACGTTTTTCAATGCTGTTTCGGCAAATTCGTTTCGTCAGGATCAGCAAATACCTTAAATACCTTCAAGCCAATGTGGGGGATTCTTACCCATCAGCCCTGGCTCCAAACCACTTCCCGCAAACTTCCAGACTCTCTACCGTATGAGCGCCATCGATACACCATTCCATTGCGCCGGTCTTAATAACTTGGCATCTGCCAGGCCAGACGACCTCAGCAAGTCCCTTGACAAACCTCTCCGGCAGTTTCCCATTAATGATTCCAGGGTTCATTCCAAGTAGGGTCAAATGCTCAGCTGCGAGTGCAACCGCAAGAGATGCATTACCATTCATGAATTGTGCTGGAAGACCTAGCTTGACCTCACGCGACCAGATTTGGGGGTGGACGTGGACGACCTCGACCTTGGATCCCTTTTCATCAGCCCTTTTCTGGATAACTGCCATAGCAGCTGATCTCTGTGGAACTGTAAAAGTGCGAGCAGAGGACTTGATAATGCCAGCCTTATGCCAGGCAATCTCCTCAATTGTGTTACCCAGTACGGCAGTGTGGTCAATTCCTAAGCTAGAGATACCGACCACAGTGGGTTTTTGGATAACATTTGTAGAGTCATGCTCGCCACCAATGCCAACCTCGAAGATAGCAGTAGTAACGTTCTCGCACAGATAAGTATGGAAAGCGACTAAAGTGAGGAAGCGGAAATAGACAGGTTTGATAGTTGGATCGCGCCCCTCTGCGACAGCCGACGCTTCAAGTCTATCCCAAACCTCAAAAAAGTACTTTGCGAAAAGCTCTTCCTCGAGCGGGGCCCCATCAATCTGAATACGTTCGCGAACGGCACGGAGGTGTGGGGAGGTATACAATCCAAGCTTGGCAGCTGCACCTCCTAGAGGTTTATATTGAGCTAGAATGGAAGCCGTGAAGGCGCAGGTGGACCCTTTGCCTTTGGTTCCGGCAACGTGAATAATATTGAGCCTATCGAAATCGGAAGGCTAGTGTGTACAGGAATTAGCAGGCACCGAATATGATGAGTTCAAGGGGAGATGTAACCTTGTATCCCAACTGGCGAACGGATTCAACCATTTCAGCCATTGCGGAACTGTTCATTTTCATACCGGATTTCCGAATCTCATCGAGTAGAGCAAAATTAGACTGTAGAGTATTGAGAGCGGCGACGGCACCCTATATCTCATTGTCAGCAGGTGAGGGAAAGGGGAGGCTGAGCAGGACGAAACCTCATAAGTTTTAGGAAATTGGGTGGACGCCATCGTGCGATAAAAGGTAGTAGTGTATTGGCGCTTTTTTAAAAGTGTAGACCTGAGCTGAAAAAAGCGCATACACTGGGTTCCGGTTGAGGTCCAACCTCGGAGAATCCGTCCGAGAGATGGGGAGAAGAAAATCGAGTGAGAGGAAGGAGTGAAGAAAATCGAGTGAGAGAAAGGGACCACGGTGGTGGGGTGGGGGGGTTTTCGTTGCCTTTAGGGTTGCTCGTAGGACCGACGATGTAAATTTCACGGTGGGGGTTGGGGGCAGCTGCGCAAGGGCGACCTCGTGCCAGAAGAGCCTCATTTCTCAGACCGGCGAGTTCCGAGCCCTGTAACTTCTCGGCTCACTTGTGTACCGGTAGTACAAGATCCAACGGTCGTAATGTGAAGCACTCAGCGAAGCCCATTATCCTGTGCGTTCAGGAATATTAAAAAAAAATTGGCTCTAATAAATTCTATTAGAGTATCTTTGCATTAGATAGTAACTAACACATTTTCCGTGTCCATACACTGAGCTGGAACTCGTGACTGCCAAAGCGCACCTTTATAGGTCGATTTCGATTCATCGGTTAGTAGATATGGATAATGAGCTTGAATGCATACTGTGGGTGTCACGATGGTTGGGGTTCTTTGTATCATACTGATAAACTATCATACCATTGAAAAGGATTACAGATATGCCCCCCTGTCCTCGCCCAGGGCTAGCAAGGCATGGAGGTTAACTATTTTGGAAAAAAATACCCTGTTCCATCAGTGCAAAATCTCTGGTGGGTTTTGTGGGTGGTAAAGTGTCATGCACCGGCAGCAAGTTGATGGAGGGAACTTTACAATTCATGAAGCACTCTTTCTGCATATCCTTGCTTGGTAACTTCCCTGCCCCTTAACCCCTTAACGGCCTAGCGCTGTCTTTCCGTAGTTTTTGAACCGGCTATTTTCAGGGGTACCGAGTAATAGATATCACTAGATAATGATAATACCCGGCGTAGGGTAGGGGATGTTTTTTTCCGGTGAGATTGCCTAGAGAAATGTGATGGTATTGTGTCTTATTTCATATCTAATAATATCACCTCGCAATTCATTGAAGGCTTGCGGGACGGGTTCAAGCACCTATATGCAAACTGGAAGGTCTAGGAAACCTTGGATAAGAACGCCTATCGAACGGGTAGGCGTGGGGTTTACGTTTTGGCTTACAGTACACAGCCCTCGAGTTATTTTTTAGCTTTTAAGGCATCGACCGGGAATGGTGGCTGGATCCTGAGGTAATAATGGAAACAAAGGCTTGAACACCAGTATGCAATACCGGTAAAGGAGGCCCAACTTACGGTATCTCCTCTAGAGCATCGGTGTCACGACACCTTTATCGAGGAATCGTCGAACTTGCCAGGAGCCGAGAGGCCGGGTTGGAAATACAAGTATAGTGAAAGTCTTGGGGGAAAATGGTCTTGGTGTCGAGGGACTTGCAATGGCGGCCCCTTGAAGAAGAAATTGGTTGATTACTACTGAGAATACGGGCTATGGAGCCCTGGTATCGTAGCCTCGTTCCCAGGGTCCCACATTCGGCTTTGTTGGAAAAGCAGTGCCCTCCTGCTGTTCCTCCGTTCCTATGCCGAATTTTACGGAATTTTAACTCGAGGGCGAAAAGACTACTTGGCTTCCAGAGGTATGGCGGAGGTCTTCCGGTGGTGCCCGGGCCGATAAACGTTTCTGACCCCGAGGATCTATGGAAAATTTACTTGAATAAGTTATGTTACTATCCTTTTGGGTGGAAGACTGTCTTGATTGTGGTTCAGCCAATACACACGAAGGAATGTACTGTACACATGTACTCTATCCTTAAGCTCATGAATTCATACAAGGGAGCATGGCGCCGGCGCTTGTAGCCCTGCGGTTCACGGGAGGGAATAAAGATGATGGTGTAATTCGTTCTCTTATGGACACCTGGAGTGAGCGCTGAACTTCACACCTGATCACTCGCGTACTGTGGGGGTGTTCTTTCAAAGATTTGAGGGTAACGGATCTCTAACACCTAATAAGGACTCCAGACATCTGAGTTGACTGCCAGACCCAATCCCTTGGACGCCATAACTGGTAATCTCGGTTAGATGATTGTATAGTTCCATTGGATCAAGATATATCTCATTGATCAAGTTGGTCACTTTCTCAGCAGGATATCCCAGTAGGTTTGTATTTATCTCAGTGATTATCATAAGTATTTAGGTGCCGGTCAAGACTTGCAATGAATGGGTCCGGGCTTCGTTGGGATAGCCTGAGATCTTTATTAGGTCTGGTCGGGTTTGTTAGATCGTGGATCTCTCTTCCTTGGGTTGGGCCGGGTTTAGGAGGGGTTCAACCTAGGCTACCTAACAAACCCGATTAATTTTACTCTCTTAATTTTGCATCTTGCAGGAAGGAAGTATCATATGACCATTGCTGTTGCTATGGAAACACTAGCCCGAGCTCAGGGAGCGGGGGAACTCTGTTTGCAAGCAGCAGTAAGGTATCATACCATACAGGAAAGTCAACTAAATCAAGATATTCTATGCGAGACAACTATTCGTAAGACCTTATAACCTTCGTCATCTCGAGCTATCACTCATTTCAAATCTTTCCAAAGTTCAATACATGACACTGGATCCATCGCCAACCTTCCCACTCCCGGCTACCGGTACCCTAGAAATTCCACTCTCCTTCACTCGCAGATCACCAGTTCTCAGACTACACAATTGGCTAGCCACAACTATGAGCCATCCCTCAGGCCCTCAGACAGGCAGTGTTCTATCAAGCCCAAGCCCACTTCCGCATTTTCTCGTATACCATTCTGACGGATTCTGACTGACGATACCCCAAACTCCAATGGCACAGAGAGATACATGGATTGAACTAGAATCTTTTATTAACACTAAATGTGTACCCTTCGCGAAACAGGGGGGGGGAGGGAAAAATATTTTGTTATGATACCATCATCATGGGTATGGGAACACCAAGGCCACCTCCTGGAGAGACAGTTAGGGTAAATGATACTGGGAAGGTCCTTAATCCGGAAAGTAATGGTGGTATGAGCACTAAACATCCGGTTCTCCGCTGAACAGGATAGCTAAAATACACTATAGTTTTACTCTATAAAGTTATTTTATTTTTAAAATACCCATAGGCATGGGTGGTAATACCGAGAGGGCAGAACCTCAATTTTGTGTGTACCATATCATATTTCATGCTAGATTTGTCGAGTATTAGTGAATAATCTTCATTTCCATGCTCAAAATAGTATTAGAATTTAGCTTTTATAATACATGCATATCATAATTCACCTGTTTCTCCCAATTTTTTTTTTTCTATACCCCTCCTTATAAGAAACTAATTCTACCCACAACCACCCCAACTTCCATTTCCCACCATCTCTACCAACTTAGAAATACAATGGCACATATAAGACAAGGGTTCATTCCGGTTGCTGTGCGGGCATACGGAAACCTATCAAACACGACTGTCCCGGTGTGAGTAGCCAACCAGCACCTGGAGCCGGGACTACCCCACAACTTTCAGCGCTTGCAATACTTCCTCATACCGAAGCTCCCCTCACTTTGCTAATCCATCCCATGGCTGTCTTCTTCCCTCCCACCGGCTTCTCAGAATCCCGATCAAAAGTTGGGGATCCCCCAAGATGGATGTGGGAGTGTGCGAGTGTGCACAGCTGTAGCGGATTTTGTTGAGCCATTCATCCGTGTCTTGGAGCCAGTTGGAGTTGGCAATCGTTGACCATAGTGCCCCGTTTTGCCTTGAGGGTTTCACTCTTTTCAAAAAAAAAAATCCCTGGTGAAATTAAGTAAAGAGCCCAGAGAATGTAGGAGCACTCCTAACTTGGTAGAAGGGAGGATTCTCTTGCAGATCCGGAGTCGCCTTCAAAGTATGGATAGTGAAAGTTCGCGACGACTTGGCCCCGGGCAGGGTGTCGGTTTCTTCTGTAGTCAGAATGGTATCATAATTCTAACACAGAGTTCCCAAATCGAAGTAACTTCTCACAGGTTTTCCCTGCGCTCGTTTCAACTTCACGGTATCGTGCCCAAATGTTCAACAACGCAGGCACCCTTTTCCCTAGAAGCCGCTCGTCTGTTCAATCGCAATCGGGCTCACACGGCACCATAAACTTTCACCCTCAAAGAAGTAACATATTATAGACAAAAGACAAAATAAGTCAATCAGTATTCCAGAACTACTCGTGTATACCCCTAGTACTAGTACAGTAGCAGCAATGACAGGTACGGTACACCGACAAAAAAGAAAAAAACAGACCTCACGAATAAAATTTGTCGTACTCTAGCAATGGATCCAAGCCCGTACACAAAATACTCGTTCTCTAGACTCCAAAGCCTCTACCGTGCCGCCTCGATGGCAGACACACTCGTGCATTTATGTGAAAAGTAGGACACTATAACTCCCCGGAAACAAGCAGGAAAGCAAGCACCAGAGCCGAAGAAAGGAAATAAAACAAAAATTGGGGATGAAAAACGGAAACGAAAAATTGACACAAACAATAAAGCAAAGCTTACTCTAATTCTTCTACGGAAACCTTTTCTCCGTGTTTTACTTTGAGATTCCAAGAGATTTCGAAGTAATCTCCATCACTAATGAGAACATTCCTCAGGATCTCTCTCGCTCTCCCGATACCCCGGGTTTGAGAGATGACCTTAGTCTTGGTCTTGGGCTTAGCTAGTAATTCTCCGCGCAGCCTAATCTCTAGAGCTTTCAAGCCGAGGGGAAGTGTCGGTGTGATGTTTGATAGCTGAAATTACCCCGCTTCATTAACCCTCGATCTATCGCCCACACGGCGCTCGGATAAACATACCTTAAGTCCCTTCATCTCATAATTCATGCCCAACCCCTCCAGCTTCGTAAACCCCTTCAACGATGCTAGCCATTCCGGCCGATAATACAAAGCCCTGGTAGTCACTGACTCGCGAACCTGTACCGTGAGTGATTCCAGACTGCCCCTGCTGTTTCCCAAAGCGCAGATTAGGGCTTTCATATGCGACTCCGTGAAACTACTGAGGTTCAGAAGCACGCGTTTCAAGCTTCGGCAGCTAGCGATGAAGGTTATCACGCCGTCTATGTCCGGCACCTCCTCCCATGTGTATAGACTCAGTTCTTCTAGTCCTTGGTTGGGTCCGCAATTTCTGCTTACACCCTTGGAGAGGTATGATAGGAGGCTATCGAATCCACGGCATTCCCAAAGTACGAGCTTGCGCAGGTATGCCGGGTTGAAGAAGGTCTCGGCGCAGTACTCTGGCGGGGGGATGTCGAAACCGTAGAGTTTTATAGAGCAGAGGTGTGTGGACGGGTGCAGCTCGGGTAGGGGTACATAATCTAGGTCGGTAAAGGCACGCGACTTCAAAGAGAGTGAAGTGAGTGGGAGGAGTTTTAAAGTCGTGTACATACTTATCATCTCTGGTTCGTTATCGGGGTTTATGTGGTTTATCGAGAGCTTTTGCAGGGTCAGGTGTTGGGCTGGCGATAGGCATGTTAGCATTGGATCGGGGGATGGAGGTGTCGGGGGAATAGTGGGGGCAGGGTTGGTGGCGGGAGCGGGAGCGGGAGCGGGAACGGGAGTGGCGGTGGCGGTGGATGGAGACGGGTGCATGGTTAGTTTCAGTGTTCGGAGCGAGTGCTTCGATAGCGCGGCTGAGAGCGCCGTTTGCGCTGGTGCACACCTGAATTAATCAAACAGACCATTATCAGCCGCAATTCCCTCCCACAATATTGGCGGCATATCCTATCCCGGGAGACGGTGATGTGTTCAAAAACTTACCTTTGACTAATAAACTTAAAGTCCCTTAATCGCCCAATTTCCATCTCGCTGACCACCTCCGCGACCTCCGCCCACCCATTGTCATCCCTACAGTCTTCCTCATGCTCCAAAGCAACACCCGTATCGCCCTCCTCTTCCCCATCAATTACGACAACCTTCCTACCCCACCACTTCCATCCAGGTGAACGTAGAACCTCGCGATTCCCAACCTTCCCGCCCAAGGCTACAACCTGAAGCGTGTGATAAAGCCTTGGTACCGAGAGATGATATAATGCGCGCGAGGTAAGTGCTAAACGAGAAAGCGTTGTGCTATCATCGTACGGAATCTAGGTATTCATCGCGTTACCAGTCCGTCTAGGGCTTTAGAAACAGCGAAAGAGTGGAGCCCTGGTGGGAAAAAGGGTTCGATCACAAATTCCAGGGGTTGAGGATGGAACTTACGTGGCTAAGAATTTCTTCGAGAACCAGCAACGGAAGCTCAAGAAGCTCCATTTTGAAAAAGAGAACCTCAACAAAAAGGTGATAAAAAAAGCGATAAAAGTGACCCACGAACTGGATGGAAAAGCAAAACAAAAGGAGAAAGGGAAAAAAGGAGAGAAAGCACGACTGAGAAGAAAAATCAAATGAATGAGAGAAAAACCCCTCGAGATCACACCCTACGATATTTTAGTATCCATATGGGATTCTCACGATAAAAGTGCAGGGAGGGGGCGGGAAAATAGAATTTTTACAACGCAGCATATTATTTTCTGAAGGTCATGGGTTCTCATAGGGTATTAAGCTATCAAGGCTCATGTGAGGGGGCATTCCATCCTCCTTCCCTCTTCCATTCAGCGCGGAAAAAAGTGAGTTATCGCGGCTACAGCACTACTCGCATCTGCCTTACCTGCGAAAGGGGGGAAAAAAAAGCACCACAGCCAATGGAGCCCTACCACGAACCATATTTGATTGGGGTAAGGGCTAGGGGAGGAGCGCTGTCAGCCAACCGGCTTTATATTATACTCAAGCGCTAATGATGCTGCTCGCAGGGTAAACAAGGACTGATAACGCGGAACCAAACTTGAGGGCAGGATGGGTCATGGTGGTGAAATTTTCGTGATAAATTTTTTTTAACAATAACACCTGTTCGCAGCAGGAGAAGGCGACCCAATCGTGCTAGCGCTCGGGTTGCACCGGATCGCCAAGGGTATATGTTGGATTCATGAATGGTCACTCGGGATGCCGTGCTGTTCTTGTCGTGCATACGGATGGGCCAGGCCATTTTGTTGGCCGGTGGAATCGCACCGATGGGATCGGGGGGTGCGCGTACGTGCGTGTGAAAAGTAACGCATTCCTTAAGGATACATGCAAGAATATGAAATGAGAATCGTTATAAAAAGAAATCGTCCACCATTCCACAATTTTCCCAAGAGTTCCCGCTTTTCTCCCGTCGTGCACGCCAAATGTGCCTAGGTCTCGAGCGGCTTTCTCCCGATGACAAAGTAACTGATGTCATTAGTGTCATGCATCCCAAGTACGGCCCTCGGCGGTGTGTGCTGGGTATAAGAACTTACTGGCTATTATAGACGTGAACTCTCTTACTCCTCAACTCTTTATGCGCCCTATCACAGAGATCCTTGGCCTCCTCCGGAGACTTGTCAAGAACCCTAGTCAGGAACGCCAGCCCATAGGCCTCGAAAGAAGTTTCAGAGTTAGCCAACATCCACGCGCCGATCTCCTTCAGCTTCTTATCCTTGGCCCAGGGCCCCCAGGGAAGACCATAGACTTTCTGGCTAACCTCGGTGAAGCCGGCCTCCTCGAGCATCTCTGAGACTTTGTGGGAGAGAGACGGAAGGCCCATATTATCCATCGCGGTGTGGTATAGATCAAACCAGTGTCGAAGGGCGCTGTCTGGGGCGAGGGAGTTGTCGTCGGAGGCGAGGACAAAATCATGTTCGACCATCTGGACCCACCCACCGGGCTTTACGGCACTGCCAGAGTTTCGTTAGCATGGACGGGCTGGGCGGAGGAATCTGGTAGGTACTTGTATATCTGTCCGATGTACTTCGGCCAATCTCTGATCGATGTCATCAAATGTCTCGAGTGAATGAGATCGAACGAGTCCTTGATGCTGAAATGTCAGCTTGGCATAATAAACAACAAAATCGCCCCCGGTAATCACCCTAGGAAAAGACCAATCATTCTCCGCATCGTCAACTTGAAACTTGCAATTCGGAGGAACCCTATGAAAAATAATCAGCAGTTGGTGCGGCGGGGGAAGACATGTGATGCATACCAGCTCGGTTGAATAGGGCTCAAATCTGTTCCAATAACCACAGCGGATGGGAATTGACTATCAGGAGTTAGAAAACCTCATTCCGCTTCCACCAAGTTCATCCAATAATTCTCACTCTGCAACATCAATTGCCCAAATACCGGTTCCGGTACCAACATCCAGGATTTGTTGAGGATTTTCAACGGGAGCGACGACGAGAACCCCAGCTAACAGGATAAGGTACATGTGGTGGGTCATATCCAGACTAATTACCCAACACTAATCAGCGCTGCTGTTCGAGGGCGGTTTTCGGGGTGTGAGAATACCGATCTTGTTCTTTCTGAGCGTAGAGACAATGTTAATTGAAACATCCATAGTTCTTCGCACAAATCAACGAACCTCATCATTCTACAAGCATCACAAATTAGCCCTCCTAGCATCCCAATAAAAGATTAACAAGTGCACAACAAACCGGCATAACATATCTACCCTCGCGATAAGCATGGTATCTACGACCTTCGGATAGTTAGCGCTATATCCGCCGAACTTGGGAGCATTGGAAAATTGCCATTTTCGTACTGGTAGTCGAACACCCCCGAGGAAAGAGAGGTTGTGTCCGTCCCGTGACTACAGACTTTCAGTTAGATCGGCACGCAGTGGGAGTGGGAGTGGCATTGCGGTTAACTACACACCTGTGCTCGTAAAGGCCATCAGAGTCCTACAGATTCCACGACAGCGGAATCGGGTCGTCAGTAAATGTGGTCGGAAGGATTTTGTATCATTCGGGGAGAGGCATTCGGGAGGATATAGCTTACAAGTCCATCGTCAACGGCAATACCAATATTCTCATAAGCCGCGGAGGCTTCTCCGGTATTAGCTCCCGGGGCTACAGGGTTTTCGGGAGGGTTTCCAGCGCCCTCAGGGCTCCCGGGATTTCCAGCACTTTCAGGGTTCTTAGGGCTACTAGGGCTTCCGGGATTATTAGGGCTTATGACGGTAGCGGGACCAGCAGCAGAGGGAGATGAAGCCATTGCGAAGGGATAAAGTTGCTGCGGTGTTTTTGGCGAGGAAGGCTGAGGTTGAAGGGTTGTTCAGCGAGTTAACGGTTAGATTACGCCGTCTTTGATGTTGGGTCAGAGATCAGTTTTCGGGGTGTGTATGGTTGGCGGTGTGGTAAGTGATAGCTCTCGGCTACTTTGTTGGTGAATTTATACAACTGGAGCTTCCCCCCCACTCCCCCCTAGCGAACCGAGTACTACAATTAAAGGAGCTCGCCGGGAGCGGGGTTGATGGTGACGATATTGCCGCACCATGGCGGCAAGGTAAAGGTAGAAGCTAGACAGTGGCTCTCTATTTCATTCGCAACAAAGGACAATTGTGGAGATCAAGGGCTATTTATTCGTTGGAATTGATAAAACTTCAATACTGTATGATAGTTCTCACCCAAGTTTGACCTACTGGGACAATTTCTCGACTCTGCTTTTTTTTTCTTTCCTTATTTTCATCCATTCCTCCTTTTTTTCTCCTCTCTCAGTTCCCCCATAGTCAACTCTTGGTCTGTAGCCTGGGTTGATGCAAATACGGGTGCAGAAGAAAATGATGGGGTTCCCCCATTAGAGCGAGCACGGTACTGGCGCTTAGCAGACGGGGTATTGACTGGACGTAGCACGGTCTGTAGGCTTGGTTAAACGCCAATTACTTTCGGGGGCTCCAATTTCGAGAAATGCAGTTAAGAGCGGAGTTTAGTGATCAGAAATGCTTGAATCCAGAACTCCTAACAACCTCTTATCAATAGCTATTTACCTACGATCCAGGCTCCCGCACGGACCTCGAATAATCGCCCGGCACATTTCACACAGGAATTGCGGCGAGTAGAGGAAAGTAGTGACTACAAGTGTCTATGGAGGGTTTTTCCACTATTAAATTTAGTATCTATCGTTCCTCCCACCCCCCACGGTATCTGTCTTTCCCACCCCACCAACTTTGGTTGAGATAAATTATGATAGTCACTTCCGGCTCTTAACACCCCTCAAGTGAGACTGATCCGTCGCGTGGATTACGCTTTAACGGCACACACGGCAACGAAGGGTATTGCGGGAAATCGCACTTATCACCACTACTCGAGTACTCGAGTAGAGTGCGGTACCGATACTGTACAGTACCCCAACAGTAGAAAGTAAGTGAGTGGAAGGTGGGAGAAGTTGAATGCAACTGAACCAAGCATTCTCATGTAATTTTTGTGATATCAACTCGCCATTGAGCGCTTTTATCACGCAGAAACAGCCACAGTATCGTACAGTGTAGAATTTGATCTATGCAGATGCAGTCGGTCGTATTGAGTAGGATATCGCCGAGGACGCTAGAAGATTCGCTAATGATACAAGTCGTGACAAGTGGTGAACAGATCTCAGTTCGCCCGGCCAAAGCCGAGGACCCAATCACCAATTGGACAAAAAAGTGCTGTTCAAATTCAGAAAGTGATATCTCTGGAGGATGGCGCCTGCAACTCTCGATTCTAGGAGCACTCTTCTGAGAATGCTGTGCCAACCCTAGGATCAAGGCTAGCGTCACTCGTTGCGGTCAGTCGATTACGCTTACGACCCGTGGCGTTGCAACGATTCGGCTCACCTTAGCACTCTTCGGGAGAGCCAAGGCTCTAGCGGGAGGGTGGAAAGAGGGGAATAAAACTGCAAGGGACAAGGGCAGGCCGAGTGACTGGTTGACGGTACTCGAGTAGCGGTAGTCCAGTCATGCCTTCTCGCTTATTGACGACTAAACACAGCGTGTCGGAGCTTTTAATGTGCTCATCCAAGTCCCCGCTTAGCCAGCCCATACATACACCTTCCCATATCGAGAAAAATGGCCCTTGCTCCAAACTAACTCGACCAGAGACTTGTATGATACTTGGATAGTACTAGAGTGCGGGACAGTGCTTGTACTTGTACGGTACTCTTCTCGAGTAGTAATAAGTTACGGGAGATTGGGAACAATCGACAGGTTGGAGGAACTCGCAGCTCCCAAATTTGTAGGCGCAATCTTTTTGACACGCATGAGCACGCATCAGGGTAACGGCCAATTTTTCCCGTTGCATCCAGATCTCTGGGCACAGTACTAGTGCTCGAGTACCTGTACTGTACAGTGCTGGTACCGGTACCCGAGTACTGTACAGTGCTCAGAGTTGAGTTCGCTAGGTAAAGATTGACAAAAATAAGGCAAACGGAATGTGACAAGATTCGCAGAGTCGTTTGTTGCAAGCTCGCCGTGCATATGAGCTCGCTTGGGATTGTCTGCGTGAAAATTCCACTCGAGTACCGTACTGTACTCGTCCAGTAACCACAGTACAGCCCGCGCTGGAGCTAAGCACGGAGCTATCCGACAGGCCACGATAGCCCCCCCATACCCCCGAAATATTTGGGTTCGAATGGCGAGTCGGCGATGCTCCTGTAGCTAGCTACGATAAACTTATATTTGTGTCCGAGGTGTTGTGCTCAAGCACTATACTCGGGTCTAGAATACTGGGATATGATCGCTGACAGCCCAAGCGTTTAAGGCGTCTGTGCGGGATACCGTGCTCGATCCTAGGACAGAGTGGGGGGAGATCAGCAGGAGTAACTATCAAAATTCGAATCGTAGTGGAGAAGCAGGGTCCACGCCGACGAGTGTGAGCACCATAGTGGGAATGGAAGACTGAAGAGTCACCCTACACTGCACGGCTGCGACTCCAAGTTACTCATTTGCAGTTTGCCTTTCCGGTATCATACTCGAGTAGCGGTATTCTGCCTATGAGCGAAGGAAAACAGCGGGGCAAGGCCGGTTTACACACCAAAATAGGGAACTTCCGCCCATTGATGTCGACCAGTATTTTGGCATTGGGGTGAAAACAATTCCGTACACTTAGTCCTATTATTGCTTTTCCACTTTACTCCTTCCCGATTCGGGAACACAGACACAACTCTCGGTCTGCCAGTTATTTCAAGTAGAATTGCACTTCATTGCCATAGCAAAAAAAAAAAAAATCCTGTCAGGGGGCGCTGTTAGAAGGTATTATTTCGATCACCCAGTTATAGACAGGGACTCTTTCTGCAAGAGCTTTCTAAAATCTATGCAGGTAATTCCCATGGATATCTGAAGCTATCTACGCAATGTCTTGAGAATTTTAAATATTTCGGGATGGTTGGCCTTTATTCCAGACACTGCTTTTTTTTGGTGGGGAAGGAATGCCTTTGTCCCACAATTTTCTTCGCTCTTGTGCCTGTCCATCTGCGGAGGATGCACAAGATGTGAAGATAATTTTTTTCCCAAAGACTTTTTGTGCTGGAAATTGCGAGGAAGCTGTATCGTGACACCGGAGATGCCGCAAAGGGTATCGCATGCAATGAGATTGTTGGTGCCAGCATTTGATATACCTGACATCATACCCAATCACTCGCTCTGGATGGGACACTGGAACGAGGTCATGGGTGCGGTATGGGAAGACTGTTAACCTAGAACTGTGAAAAGTTCATCATTATCGGCTTCGAAAGGGGGTTTGAGTGCTTTTTCTTTTCCCCTTTTGATCTCTTTTTGATCTTATTTTTTTTTTTCCCTCGCCGTTCGACACTATTCGAGCAGGCCTGTCTGAATCATTGGGACAAGCTAGCCTACCATTATTTTCATTTCGCTTTCGTATGCCGAACCCATTTAGAGTTGCGAAGTCGCATCCTCGGGGACAACAGTAGGCTGTGTAAGAACGTCAACATCTATGAAAGGCCATGAGGACTATCGTAGAGAATATTGGATTTTATGGAAAGGGGTGATTGTCCGCAGTTTAGATAATAGCGGTTCTATCCTTTCGGTTTTTCCTCATCCGTGAGACCAACCACAAAAAAAACCCCCCGTTTAAGTACCAAAGACAGTGCAGCTAAAAAAAAACGAGTTGTTGCCTGGCAGTACTACCCTCCCAACTGGAGCCCTAGACTGGGAACGGGGCCAGATGGGGGACCAAATTAATTCAAAGGCACAAAGGCATGAAAACCTGGAGACTCCAATTGGAATCCAATCCTAGGGGAGGAAGATTCGGAAGAACGGCGGATATTCCTGACAGCATAGCATGTTATATTCCCCCCTCCTGAGCCCAGCCCGGGCAGTTGATTCCTTGAGTAGAGATTTGAACGAGATTTACGGAAAATTCAACTGGCCACCTCTCGCCTCTCCGTCACAATCTTTTGATTCCCTTCAAACGGGCCATGAGATTGTTACTGGAATCCTACCACTGATCCGTACACTGTCGGAAGTTGTGAAGAGCGATGGGATTCTGTGGTTAATTCTGGAGGTTGCTAGAGTCTGGTGGATCGTTCGGGAGTGTGGTGGATTGTTCCAGAGCTTTAGTGATTTAAGGTAAAGAAAAGGTTCTCGAGACATGTAGAACCTTTGGTATCACGGGAGTGTGAGGAGGAATGGGGACATGCGTGGAGATAGGTGTGGTGACCCAGAGAAGCATCGAGATATTTTTGATTACGCTTTATATATACACCGCCAGCTTGGTTTGGTGGATGAGCACAAGTTGAAGAGAACAAATTTTATGACCATACCTCCCTACCATTCCTGCAGAGTTTCCAAGTTCCAAGCGAATCCTCCCACTCTACCGTTGCGCCCGCCGTCTATCTGCCACCTTGATAACATTATCTGCTTTACCACCACAAGCAATGGTTCTAGCTAACGTTAGTATCAAAAACTAGTATGTTCTCTTGGCTGACAAAGCAGAAATTAGACGGGTGACAATCTAGTATCTTTCACTATCCCTGCCTGCCCTTGTGATGCTTGCCATTTTTTCTTCCTCTATCCTCACAATCCGGCGCGCTTGGCTGCTTTTTATTCTATATTAAATCTTCTCATAAATGTTACCATCTAAGAGATTTATCAACTGCTTGTGAATGGCCATAGCCGTATGCAACGGGTAAATGTGAAATTGAATTTTCCGACCTCAAAAAGGGAAAATTGTATGGTTATCAATGTTATTGCCACCCCCACTCAGGAAAACACTGTTGGAAATCCGGAAGTGATTATACCAAAACGGATGCATCCAGAGCCCATCTTCTACTTGCTATAGGATACAATAGTACTCGAGTAGAAGGCCACACCACAACCTTCCATGGCGAAACAAGGGAAAGCAAATGTGGAGGATATTCCCCACAATTCCCCATAGTAAACACACCCGTCCATCGGAACTCTCTACGATATGTGGAACACCATTGTGTCCAAGCACCTTCACGTCGCCAACCCCGCTGAACATGAGAACCTTTTGGCCGTGTACAAGCAATGCCTCGCGTCATCCAGCGCTTCCCATATCATCCAACATATTCCAGCACTAACGCTTGAAGAGCACAGGAATTCGGTCGCTAGCACTAGAAATAAGAGCAGACCAAGTTTTCCTCCCTCAATGGGATCAAACTTGGTACGGGGGGCAATCGGTTCCCCGATATGTAGCCCCTACCATATCATAGATACGGTCCCAATACCCCCATTTTCACACCGATTGGTTTTCAAAGCCATGAAGTCCATCACCTCGCACTGTTTCATTTTTCTGTGCAAAGTGCAGCCATCTTAACGCATCACCTGCGCTATTGTCCTGATTGATGGGGCACCGATTAAACAATACTCGTACATGGTTTGATGACCCTTGGAGGCGAAGGGTCAACTGCACCACTATCTCGTGCCCCCCTCCCCTACTATGATATGTACGTGTACTCGAGTATAGTATCCGGAGAGCAAGGTTTAGAATCCCAGACATCGCCGCTAATTTTCAATTAATTTAAAACCCCTTTTTAAGACGTAACACCATCCACCGTAGGTTCAGAATGCGCAACCCACACAAGAACAATCGAAATGCGACAAAAGTTATTCGTGACAGTTATGCATTGTTGTCCATAATCCCTCCATGCCTCAACCAATAAGTGGTATCGCCTTGAGGGAACCTATAAATCGCGTTAATGGTCGATGGCTAAGGATGGAAATGATTAGTAAAGGGGACATAAATCAATGAACCAAGAAGAAGCAAGAGGCGAATGAATGACTTGGACTCGAGGGTGAATTAGAGGTGACTTTAATGGCAGTGGTAGAGCACAATACAGTACTCGCACTCGAAAATGCAAAGACGGACAGCACGGATATGGGTAAATACCGTCCCAGCGGACGGGGAACGGTGCGGATTCGAGTCACTGCCGGTATACGTGCCACAACTATGCCCGGCGTGACAAACTTTATGGAGGCATTTCAATATCGGTCAACCAACCTGATCGAGATAAGCCCAGTATCAACAGCTCTCCTCGCTCCAACACCCTCCCATGTTTTTCGCGCAAATTCCCACACCACCTTAGCCTTCAGTTTCCCAAGTTTCGTAGTATCCCTTGATCATCTAATTTATGGCCCCATTTTCATAATAATGTTCCCCCCGCCCGCCCCGAAATTCAGCACGACCGAGCTGATATGATCACTCAAATCAGTTGGCATTGGACCATCTGGGGATGGGTTAGGGTTATTCAAACTTGGCAGACGTGTTTGCCCCTCTGAGGTGAATAGTCTACTGCGAACTTAAGAGACAAGTACAGTACCGTAGTGTAGTTTTGTATGCCTGGGGAGAAAGTGTAAGGGAAGGCTGCCCTGTAGTATCGCTAGGCAGACGCCTTAGGAATCCTATGGCTATTTGAATTCCCCCAAACTCTACTCGAATATACGAGTACAGAAACTGTGCTCTAACTTTAGACTACAATGTCAGCAACCTTTTCACACGAGCAAGTGCTGGGAATTACACCGCCGGTATCATACTCGAGTCTACAGCACCCGGAACGATCTGCGGGAACCCACAAAGATCTTGGAAAACGTTGTAACATGACGCAACAGGTTAGGTGATGTGAGGAGATGGAGCTAGGCTCCTTTGAGTCAGCTCTGGTGTGGGTCGCCGCATTGGGGAGGTCTGAATAAATCGCTGTGATGAGATATTTCTGGACCGATAAACATGTTCGGTCTCTGTCTCCATCTTTCTTGTTTGTCCTCCAGCTCTCCCCCCCCTTCGTCCTCCACACCGAACCATCGTTAAACACCATTCACTTGTTCCGCAAGGCAATTACTATGAAATACCACTTAAAGCTTTGTTTACCCTAACTTAGGCCCAACATCTTGTTTCGCCCTAAAGCTTGAGTCGTCACTGCTTCCATCTCAGCCCTCGGGAATACAGAATTTTCGTCTCCTTTTTCTACTGTGACACCCCGGCACTTGTCAGCCTCCCTTCCCCTCCCCACTCTTCACCAGAGCTCCCTCTCTCTCCCGCAACAATAACAACAGCAACAACAGCAACCATGGCATTCTCCCGCTCAGCAAGGATAATCACCCTGCTGGTGATTGACTCTCTCTTTTTCCTTTTGGAGATCATCGTTGGATACTCTGTCCATTCCCTTGCGCTTGTTGCCGATTCTTTTCATATGGTTTGAAATACCCCTCTTCCTTGAGTGTTATGATCGGGAAGCTTATAAGGGGGCTGTTAGCTGAACGACGTTTTTTCGCTGCTGGTGGCGTTATGGGCGATTAAGCTCGCCAGACAAAAATCCACATCAAGCTATACATACGGAGTACGTCCTCACATCTTCATCGGTCCCAGTTATATAATTGACGCAAGCGAATTTTAGTGGCAACGAGCTGAAGTTCTTGGGGCGTTGATCAATGGTGTATTCTTACTTGCGCTTTGTCTTTCGATTTTCTTGGAAGCGATTCAGCGCTTTTTTGAGCCGCAGGAGATATCTACTCCCTGGTTGGTACTCGGCGTTGGGAGTGCTGGCCTTGCTTCGAACATCCTTGGTTTATTCTTATTTCACGATCACGGTCATTCCCATGGCGGCAATTCGCACGAACACGACCTTGAGAGTAGTCTGGTTGGTGAGGAAAGCGCGGCAGCGGGTCATGAGCACCACAAACACACACGCGGTCTAAGGGGCCATATTCACGACCCAGCGGAAGATGATCGCGGTGATATCGACGATATCCTCCCGGACATTGTTGTCGCAAGGTTATCTCAGCCGATCCCGTCTTCATCATCTACCTCGCGAAAGAAGGGGAGAAGATCGACTGATAAATCTCGTCAACGCCACTTTGCTTCCCCCGTAACCGACATTCACGTCCACCCCGCCCGCAACCGCCAAGAGGTCATTGCCGCAGCGGTCAGTGATACGGAGCACTCCTCATCGGCAGTGATTTCATCGGCAGATTCTGACTCCGATGCCCCGACTTCTCGATCTCCTCTCCTCTCGGTCACTGGTAAGGGCCGCAAACGAGCATACTCGCGATCCTGCCACCAAAACCACAATCATGCCAAGCCCAAAGAAAACAAATCCTCCCATTCACATCAAAATCTCAACATGCGCGGAGTATTCCTCCACGTCCTTGGTGATGCACTCGGAAACGTCGGCGTAATGTCAGTAGCCGGTGCTCTCCTCCTCCTCCCAGAGACAATCTGGTGGCGCCACCTCCTAGATCCCTCCATCTCCCTGCTCATCACAATGATAATCTTCTCCTCCGCTCTCCCACTCTGCAAGTCGGCCTCCAAAATTTTACTTCAAGGTGTGCCTAAGGGAATCTCGCTGGAGGAAGTGAAAGAAGATATCGCCTCGATCCAAGGCGTCGAATCCGTCCACGAATTGCACATCTGGCAACTCAGCGACGTGAAAATGATCGCAAGTTTGCACATCCAGATCGCCTTCGATCCAGAATGCGAAGGCGGTGGGCGATACATGCAACTTGCAAACGCAGTCCGGACATGCCTGCATGCATATGGGATCCACTCGAGCACTATTCAGCCGGAATACACCAAAGAAGAGGAAGCGGCCGCGAGTAGAACAGGCAGTACAAGAGGCGGCACAGAAGAAGAGGCGGCGTGTCTTTTGGAATGTGGGGACGGGTGCGTTGACGGAAAGTGCTGCGCCCCTGGCAGCGGTGCTCCAGGGGATGAAGTCATTGGATAAACTTCAATTTTGAAAAATAAAATCCCCCTAAGTGACAGAGAGTGGGTACTGTATAACTATAACATCCTGGGTGGCGAACAACGGTGCCTAAAAAATTTCACTTTTTTCTTTCTTTTTTTCCGGAAAAACTCCGATTTGACGGGATGGCTTCTTGTGCATATGATTCCTAGCTTGTATCCTTTTCAATTTCATCCCCATGTTTATCGTCTGCCGTTTCGTTTGTAGATGGGTTTTGCGATAGTTTGGTATTGGTAGATTTGAATGGCGGTTGTCTTCTTTCTTTACTTTATCAAGTACCATAAGTAATGAAAACATAATTCGGAGCCAACGCTTTCACCTTGAAATAGCCTAAGTTAGCTGGTACAGTAGAGTTCAGCAGTTCTCAGCATCACCAAGCGGACCACATCTCATTAATAATAGTTTGTACACCGCCGGTACTCGAGTACAAGTGCACGATGCAAGTAGAATCCCGAATTACAATCACAGGTGATCACTCGACAAATAAGAAAAAAAGAACCCTTGCCAAAAACCAGCAATACGTACGCGGAAGCCCATAACCAAAATACTTAGGCCCCCACCGTATCCCGACCCGATCCAAACATATGGCATGCATCCCATGCACCAACCCCACAAACTTCACTCGCCCCAGCACTGCCCATTTTCATTCATTCCAAGCATAGACCCATTCACCAGCGCCAGATCAACCATGTATACCACACAAACACCACCCCAGCGACTAACAAGACTTCCCGAGTGACGTATACCACCCACGCTTTCCACCCGGTGGAATATTGCTTTCTCTTGGAGTACTTGAAGTTCCCGTCTTCGCCATCACCCCAGTCATTATTCTTCGCGCTCGACTGCCTGTACGCGCTGGAGATATCTGAGCCTCCCTTTGATATCGGTAACACATTCCCCCTGTAATTCAGTGCAGCCCTTCTGCTCCTCCGGAAATCAAACGTGGCAGCAAGGATTGTGACCAGGAGCATGAAAGTGTAAACGGTAAACACCCCCCACTGATCCGGGAGTAGACAAAGTCTTCCCTGAACACTCTCTGTGTCCGGTGACGCATTGCCAGTGTACAAACTAACCATGTAGAAACCCGGCCTCCGCACGCCCATCGCCCACGAGAAACTCTTGACAGTGACCTCCTTGATGTTACCAGCATGCTCGACTTCGCAATAATCGTGGTCGTCCCCGGAGAAGACGTACTTGGCGTTCGTCTTCTGAAGGATTTCCAAGGAGAGTGCTGGTTGAAGGACGTTTTGGTATTGATAACCGGCGTGGATAAGGATTGGGTCTTTGGATTCTCGGTGCGGGCCGCAGGGGGTGTCGGCGGGCCGGTATAAGGGGACGTGGGTGAGGAGTATTGTAGGGTTTTGAGGGATGGAATCTTGACCTGAGGGCGAGGAAAGGGGATTTGCTGCTTCCTCAATGACGTGCGGGAGGAGGGTTGGTGATGGTGTTGTTAGGAGATCTGGGAGGCTATCGAGGAAGTCTCGGGCTGGTAGGTAGATCTTTGGATTGTTATCGTTCGATAAAGAGACAGAGTCAATTAGTACGATAGTGTGATTGCCTGCTTCCAATACCCCGCTCGTCTCGCCAAAGTAAGTTCTGAACCTATCCTTCACCCCCTCTCGAATACCGTTTCCCATACCAAAGTCGTGGTTCCCCGGCAGTGTTTTGACAGTCCTTCGGTAAGGCCAACTGGGGAAAATCTTCAAAAACCGCCTGTACTCGCCCATCCAGTAGCTATCACCATAGTCCTTCCAATCCTTCGCCCCTCGTGGGTCTTCCGTAATAGGAATCAAGTCCTCGTGTAGGTGGTGATTTTGGGCATAGCGCGAGCTCTGCTCGTGTGTCCATTCCCGCCCGCCGTCGAATAAATCACCCAGGAATACCGTCGTGGAAGGAGAAAGCCGCTCCTGGATAGTCTCGTACGACCGTGACATGTACTGATCCGTATAAAATATTGTCGCGGACAGGAATGGTCCACGGCGGGGGTAAGTGTGTGGATCGACAAGCTGCGGATCAGCGATTAGGACCGCTCGATGGGGCATTGCACCCTCTGGCTGCCAATCATTAGCCAAATACACACTCACCCTCTCTCTCCGCGGAAGGTCTCAAGGAGCCAATACCCAATCCTCCCACCTATCCCATTGACAAGCTTCTATCGCACTCCTGAAAACCCTCCTCTCACCCCACCACAGAACAACAATCCACGCAGCTTCCACCAGTCTCCGTATAGAAAGCAGCGTGCTCTTCCACTCCTTCCGTTTCCCACCCCGATAGTAATAAGCCCGAAGATTCGCTAAAAAACCGCGGTTGCGGGCGGGTACCATTGTGATGGAAATTGAGCTGGGACGGTACAACGAATGAACGGATGAAGGAGAGGACATTCGAAGAAGAAAAGCGAGGAAGCGAGAAAGTATGATACCAACACGACCTCTAGGGGAAAATGAATAAAAGAAGAAAGGAACGAAGATTACACGCTACGAGAGCGAAGGAGAAAGAGTGGCGGAATGAATGAATGAATGAATCGAGGAAAGAATGAATGAGCGGGTGAGTGCCAGTGGGTGCTGTGCTGCAGAGTATATGAAGGTCCAGGGAGGTTACCGAGCTAGTAATAGTCTACGTACGGATGGATTGCGGTATCATAGTCTACCGGTATTAGTGAGGACAAAATACGAGCAGAGTAGGACATGATTGCTCAAGTATCATTTCATACTGTAGTCTACCACGGTCTTTTCATACCTGCACTGCACCTTCCTTGGGCAGCGGTGCTGGAAAAAAAAAGGGGATGCCAAGATGCAACGGGCATACAGGCAAGGGGTAAAAGGGATGATGGGTGGGATGGCTAATTTCCGACTCGGCTATAGTATTTTTGGCAGCGATCGCCCTAACTAAGCCGAGGCTCCGCGTGCTAATCCCCCCATCCTCATAAATCGTCACTCGAGTCTTGGCTCAAAAAGCTTAATTATTCTCATGTATCACATCATACCGGCATCGGTATCATAATAGTATCTCTACACTACCGCGGCATGGACCACCCATACTATCTATCATACAAAGTCACACTCCATCCGGACCACCGGGATAACGAAAGAAGAAAATAAGCGAGAAGATAATTAACCGGATATTCACACACACCTACAAAGCACAGAGGCGGGCTCGAACTCCATCAGTAACCTCCGGCTTTCATCGAAAACCCCATATTGTTCCACTTTCCTGGTTAGATCTCCGCGGTCCCAATCACCCAGCTCAATGCTGGCCCTGTGCACCCGTTCGAGGATATCCACCGCGGCGACGGACTGCCCCTGACGGATGTAGAACTTTGCGATGCGCATGAGGACTTTCAGCCAGCTGAAGCCTACCCATCCTTTTGTTGCCGGGATAAGGAACTCGGACTCTGCCTCATCGATGATCCTCGCTATTACGCGTGCGCCATCTTGAGCCGCGCCCTGGCGCTCGTAGTGCTCTGCTAGTGCCACTGCTGTGGTGAATTCATCCACTTTGCACTCTTCGCACAGACGGCCCTTGGAGGGGCTGCAGAGGACGGAGGTTAGGCTGTGGACGTAGAGGAGTATCTCAGTGCTTGTCTGAGTTCTGGAGAGGTGTGTTTCGAAGAGTAATGACAACGCGGTCACAATGTGGGAGATGGTGGGCCTCGGCTGGTCGTCTTTGCCAGCGGTGTTGTAGATTAGTGACAAGAAGCGGAGGATGGCAGTGTGGTGAGGGGAATTTTGTGGGAGTGATGGGGCGGCAACGTCGCGGAGGTCGATGAATCCCGGGAGAAAATCGTCATATACAATTAAGCTTGCGCAGGCTAGGTTCGGATGACTGGACTGTAATTCTGTAAGTAGTTCTAGAGTCCTATGCGCAATGGCGATTTTCTCGCTTCCATCCAATCCCCTGATACCAAGTAACCAATTAAAATACGCCTGTAGAGCCGGGGGGGGAACAGCGACGGTTACCGTCCCGGAAAGCCTTAACTTTGCCAGGGACAAGATGGCCTTAAAAATTGGCTCGGCGTCATCAAGCGCCGCCTGAGTGCTAGGCAGCTGCTGCTCAAGCATCTTATACTTCAAACACTCGTTGATCCTATGTTCCAAGAACACTAGCACCTCACCCTGTCGTCCGTTCCTGGCGAGGAGTTCGGCGATAGCTACGTCGACCTTCAAAGTCAACTCAAAGTCCTCCCGTTCGCCCAGCACGCCCCGAAGCTGTTTCCATGCTTTATCTGCAGCGTCCCACAGGCCGCTGTTCTCCTGCAGTCGCGCCTGGGCTGCCGTTGCCTCAAACATCTCCCGCTTTTCCTTCCTGGACGGGCGCCCGTCATGGTTGCTCCCGACTATCCGAGTCGCCCGCTTGAGCAAGTGAATCCCTGCCAGGGCTTGCCCAGATAACTCATACAAAGCCGACAGCTTCCTCGAGATCCTGGAGAAGTACCGTGCAGATATCCAACGGAAGTTCTCGCTGTCCCCAGCGACACTCATGGAACCACCGCCCGACACGAGTACTTTCTCGGCCTTGGAGAGTATCTGCTTGAGTTGACCTACTGCTGCTGTCTCCATCTTGTGCCTCTTCGCAAGGCTTAACAGGCCGTCGAGGAATTCTCCTAGGTTTAGCACGCCAAGGACTCCGAACGCCCCTTCCCAATCTCCAAGAAAGCGCTCTAGTATGCCGAAGGTTCCGGCCATGATGGCCTTGTGCTCTGATGTGTCGCCCCCCTCTTTTAGCTCTCTAATTCGGACTATGGAGCGGAGTACCCTGCTGCAGTCCTCGTCTGCGAATTCAAACATTCCTTCCAGCGTTTCCTCCTCGTCCTCGCCGGCGGTTAGTATTCCAACCCGGGACATGAGCACGGCTTTTAACGTCTGCTCGAGAACGTATATGGCCAAATGCATTTCCCCGATTTTCTCGTAGTTCGTGCTTAGTAGTAGAGCGAGCATGAAGCCGTTCCTAAAAAGGTACACGTTCTCCCACGACACGCTCTCCACAAACTCACCCATCACCCTGGCCAATGATAAGTGGCTCGGTTCCTGGGAAAACAACTCGTTTGGGTCAACGGTCATAAGTGTTATCTTGCTGAGGCCTAACTGAAGTATCACAGCGGCCGAACAGAAGTCATTCTTTTGATGGTGCTTCTGGGCCGTTTGCAGCACTTTATTTGATATCTCATCTATAAAGTCTGTCTTTAGGCGCGGGGGGTTGAGCCGATATGTGGGGAACTCGGCGAGCGATGGGTCGATTACTTGGGCTTTGAAAGTTGATAGCTGGATCGATGAAATCTTGGTTTGCTCTGCTTGCTGCGGAGTTGGGGAGGAAGAGGGCATATAGTATGGGTATGACGGAGATTGCAGTGGGGGTGTATGCATTACTATAGGGGTTGTCGCCGCTGTAGGTATAGGATCGATCCCCATACCCGTGAGACTGGCAGATATACTCTCGAGACTACCCGGTCCACGTTGATGTCCCGGTTGCGACTGCGAGTTTTGTCGTGGTCGACTGTAAGGATGGGCAGAAGGCCTACCATGTTCCCTGACTCTCCGCTTCGGGGACGTCGGCAAAGCTTGGGTGAAAGGATTTACAGGAGTTTCCCTCCCGCGGGCGGTGTCTGTCCGGGCGGGGACTTGCGGAGCTATGTCTATCGGCGGGTACCTGTTGTGGTATCCGGGGGTCGGTCCGTCGGTCGCTTGCGCCGGCTAATCGGTCGGTCGATCAACCAAAAGTCAGCAATCAACCAACCGAAGCCAACTTCTAGGGTGATATGTTGCCACAAAACAAACAGCACACCTCAAAGTTTCCCCCGCCATCGACAGCATTTGTAAATTCTTTCGGCGAGTGCTGGCTTCCTGCCGCGACATCGCTGAGTATTTCTAGGCCCGAATTGTCATCTGGTGGACTAGCGACGGCTCGTCTAGAAGGCCTTCGCCCTGGATCTCTCTACTAACGTCAATGAAATGCGTTCCCGTTACGTAGGGGTGAATTCGCCCGTGGAGGGCGGGGTTATATCCTACCGGGGCATTTTTTAACCATCCCCACTGCTTGAATTTCTTCTTGTATCCACGGGGGCTATATATGTATGCTCAGCATGGGAACTCACTTACCAAAAACACAAGGCTAGGGGAGAAGGAGAAGAGAATATGTGGGACGGTGAAACACAGAAGAACGAAAAGAAGAAGAAAAGAGAGAGCCAAAAAAAAAAGTGGGAAATTATATACCTCGCACCAAAATCATAAGACTCCTTCATAATCCGAATCATATCATCGAGCTTGAGGTTTTTCTCCATGTATCTTTTCACCACTTCCTGTCAGCCTTCCATTCTCCCTCCAACCCATCCCTCAATTCGTCCACTGTCCGATTCGATTCCGCAAGACTCACAACTCATGAAGCTTAACCTTAACGCTGTCCCAATTCTTCGTCATGTTTTCCCTCTCACTCACTACTTCAGCCCTGCGAAAGCCTCTACTCGAGTACTTCGCCTCTACAGACAGCAAGTTCAAGCTTATTTATCCACAACAAGGTCTTTGCTTGGGAAAAAAAGGAAAAGGGAAAAAAGCAACAAAAAAAAAAGAGTGAAAAAGTGCACTTTTGAACCGGGTTATTGAGGCTGAGCACTTTTCATGACACATACACGTACAACCTATGATACTTGTACGGATGCTATAAGTGCTAGTACCGGAACAGTGCCTTAGCTTAGCTGTGAGCGGATGGATAGAAGAGCCCTTTTTCTCTCTCCCCTCCTCCCCCCCAAAATCGATGACTAGGTTAGGATTAATTCTCACGCCGCACTTTCTCGATATAATATACGATGATAAAGTAGATGAAATTGATAGAGTGGCGGAATTGGGAGAAGGGGGGAGTGGAACAAGTAGGAAAATTTAACGAAGGAGGTTTGAAGAAGAATTGAGTGGTACGGTAGTGTTAAGACTCATTCATTTTGTCCACCGTATTGATTGATGGTGATGGTGGTAGCGGTTGAGTCACGATTCCCTGCTTGCCTGCTGCAGGGTAATCGTTCCAAGTGAGTATGATACATGCTCAGGGCTAGTGAAAAGAGTAATCAGGGGTGCTTCGCCTGCGCCCTGATCATCCTTACTCACTCGGTGGCTGAAGGTATGGAAACAAGCAGCTGGAAAGGAATACAGATACCGGTAATTGGGGTGGGGTCCTAGCTCCTAGACACCGATCGACATGGTGGATTGGTACGGCTAGCATGAGGGAGGCGGCGGGGGCCACAGTACTGGTGGCGGACCTACACGTATTTCGTTCCCAAAACATGGTAAAAGATACCCTACCTCTTCGCACAAATCGCTCCAGCCTTTTTTCGTATAACACGGTGTGTACCGGTAAACCAGAGTGATAGGTGAAGGGGAGGGATATTTTGAGGGTCCCGAAGGTATGCGGTTGTACAGTACACAGTGTGCGACCGGGCCAGATAGTTGGGCTATAGGGGTGTTTTTATTAGCTGATCACCAATGTTTCAATTTGGCGCAACTGGCACAAAATTTCTTAACCAATCTACCCCCACAAAAGCAACAACCATCCGTGTCCTGTACGTACCTCCCTTCCAAGGGGGGGGGGGCACCTCATCTTACCAGCAAAACACAGCAGCCTGAGAATCCGGTCATGAGCCTCCGGTAAATTTACCTCTATGAGCAGTTGTATCAGGTATGCGCAGTGCCTTGCTGTAGCTTCACTACCCACCTAGTTACTCTCTTTGTAATCGGACGACATGTGTGTCTTCAATCACCTGACCTCGCACCACATTCATTCACCCCGCGATAGCCCTCGCCACCACGCGTAACTTTACCAATACAATACTCGCCACTCCACTCGCACTTGACGGGAGTGGGGGGATGTGTCTGTAAGTGCAAAAAAGAGCTGTGCCCGAGTACAAGTGCCCGGGAGGGTGTTTTCGCACAATTCAGGGATCACTTTGTGGGCTAATCTGGGGTAAATGTTCACTGACCCTCTCGTTAGTTCTGGCACGGTATGATACGTACGAGTATGGTGCTCTGAATGCGCAGTCACTAACCAATCACCTACCCTAAAAGGCGTGCATGGCCAACGAAGGCTTCACCGTCATAAAAACAGCTCTGTCATACACCCATTCCACACCAATCGATCAGGCGGGTGGAATAAATTTATATAAGAGGCGTGTTTCGAGGGAGATAGAAGTCTCGTGAAAATTGTTTGGCAAGTTCAGCATCAACTTAGGGTAATCAGTACCGGTAACCAATACCAGCGCAAGTGCCTGGGAGGGATGTTTTTACGCAAGACAGGAATTACTTAGCAGGTTAACCTCGGCTAGCTATTCACTGACTTTCCTATGCGATACCATTGATATCGGTAGGGTAGTGCGGGGCCCTGACTGGATCAAGTCATCGTAGAAGTACAGCGAAATGCACTACTGTACAAACTGGTAGAAGTACATTTTTGATTGGAGTCTGATCTCGCGGGCCAAAAGAGCACTTTAGAAACTCCGCGCGCACGGGCCAATCGGAGGCTTTCTGATTGAGGTTACTTGAATAGAAGAAGCGCAGTGTTTATCTTGTGAGTCGGTAATACTTACCTAGACCTAATCTACGACCTTAGCACGAGGGTGGAAAGAATATCTGTTGGATTTACTTACCGGTAGTGCTTGTGGAAGTAGTGTGGTATGGCAGCCTCAGGTAGAGCAATATCTATTGCGTTTAAAGGATATTATTTGCACGAATGCCACCTCGATATCCCATTTCTTGTGTTTCGGGGGAGTCGTTCCTGAGGCTGCGCATTGGTTAAGAGCTTATGCTGGCCAGTGTGTGTGATATGAGGTCTCCGTTATCCTGAACGCGTAGGTTGACTCTCACATACGGTAGCCTGTCTCAGCCCTCTTTGTGTATCCTTTGGTCCGTTTGAAACGGTTCTAATTCTTATCAATCGAATAATGGCTAGGCGCGCTAAGGCCAGATTTGGCAGCGATTTGAAGAACCCGATCAGGAAATGGGGTTTTCAGTCCTTTCAGTGCTCATGTGACTCAGCACCTTGGGTCGTAAATACCCCCAGAAAATCGCACAGCTCGAGTCCTTCTAGGACAGGCCTAGGGTGCCTGGCTAGGAATTTGAGAGTTTCAGACCTACCCGAGTAACAAGGGATACGGTACTTGTATGCGTATGCAAGGTGCAACTGCCTCTAGGAGTGGGGGAAATCTCTAACCTGTGTGTTGCATCTTATGGTTCATATCTTGCACCACCTTGGGGCTTAGACACAACGCGGGCGTGGGTTAAGAATCCATCGATTTTTTGCAACGTGGAGGGTGTTTTTGGCGATGTCTGGTTAAGCGTTGGTTTAGGGTTACGACGCCTGCACCTGAGACTAGAGTTGTCACTAATTTGACTATTTTTGCAATCGCCAATTGAGCTGTCTGCCAGCACGACACACCACCGGGTCATTTGTCGGCATACAACCTGGCATGAAGTGAGAAATTGGGTGGCTTACCCCAAAAGCTCGATGGTTTCCCAACTACCGTACGTGTACTGTACAGTACCGGTATCTCAGCTACCCTATCGAAGAGCTCCGAACACGGAATCCACCGCGTAAACGAGCGAAATCCGTGTCCAGCTCGAAATGAGGCTCTTTTGGCCCATGCAACGTAACACCGCATGCTGTATCACTACCACGGTGGCAAATCTACTGGATTAGCCTTGAGATTACTTGTGAGGCAGACTTCAAGTTCGCCAGGGGCGAGAAACTTGTGACCGTAAAGTGGAAGATTACCCATGGGGCTTCGTCGGAATAGGTAAGCGCTTCCTGGTACCCACCGCCACGGTACGGTATCGCTCGTGAGTTGTGTGTTAAGGAGCAGCCTTTGATGCAGATGCCGGTAATGGCATGTGGGGAATTCCCCGTGTAGGTACGGTACCGGTACTATGGTAGAGGAGTACTGGTAGTGCTATGCAGAGAAGAGTGTCCTCAAATACGAGTCGAAAAAAGAAGTAAAGATGCTGATATTAATATTCACAATCGCGTCGCACAGCAAAAACACCGCCTCCACCCGTGAAGTGGGGACCCTCGAGCCTTCTGGTTGCCACGAATCCTCTCCGGTGTAATCATCATTTGCTCAACAACGAGCTTCGGATTGTCGACCCCTCTCTGTGATCCTTCTCGAGTGATTGTGTGTGAATGTTGGAGTCAATATCGAGATTGAGTCACTCCAGGGTTTGGGAGGCAACGTTTCTTGTAAGCGTACTTTTCTTTTTGGTGCATGTCACAGTTTTTTTATCAGGGATCTAGAGAGCATCTTTCACTATTGCGGTTACTCTCGGCACCAGAGTTGTGAAATTTCTTGCCTCTAGTCCTGCGCTCTGAGACTGTTGCGCTATTGCCAATCTTAGCATCCATAGGATTGGAGCATACTTTATTTAAACGAAGAAACTGGGGGGAATCACCGGTCGGGCCATCTTGACGCTCTACTAGACTTGGGTGGGCGGGAAAGCTGTAAGGAGGTCAGGCGGGGAGAGGATTGAAGGGGCCAGGAGCTGAGAAGGGGACAGGAGAAACTGAGGCGGCTGAGTGGAGATTCTGTGTCTCATGTGATAGCTTTCACCCATAGCTGTCAATCCGATAGGTCGAAGAATCCTCTCTTTATACGAGTATCAGTAGGAGAGCCTGTTCCTTAGCCTTTTGCGGGGGGTGTGATCGTCGAAGGTAGTGCCCCTGAATATCCGCGGGTCCCCGCATATTCAGTGACGTCCCTAACAGCCCATTGTCTATCACGCTAACTACGAATATATGAGGGCGTAAATACTCGAGTGCCGGTACGCCTAGAGCTCGCGGACGACTTCTGAAGGGATCAAGCATTTTTTGCATAGGTGCAACTTGGGACTGAGAAGTTGGGAACCCGGTTACTATTTGACGAATTAGATAAGCGGAGAGGCCATAATCATAGACTTCCTCTTGAAAGTCGCATCTAGCCTATCGGCATCCATTGAGAGGCACAGGAGTGTTCGCTCGGCTGGAAATGGGCAAAACTTCATTAGAGCCTAATAGGGATTTCTTTTTTCATGGCAGGAGCTCCTACAATATCCCACACTTTCCTGCTTTCACCTGAAATATATCATCTGATGAGCATTCTATCGTTGTTTTATTTAGCCTTCAGGACAAGTGGATATTTCCACTGGCTAGGTTTGAAGTGAGTACTTGTATGTGCGAATATCCTGTCACAAAATTATATGGATGAACCACGAGACCTCAGGAAAAACAACAATTGTGAAAACCCATTGGTAAGCTGGGTATCTGGGTAGAGACACTATTCGACCTGATGAAGTGAGTCACACCATTTATAACACTTCTCCAAGAGCGCTGTCTACGGTATTACCTTTCTGCAAGGATTTTGGTGCCCAAGCATTGGCATGGGCTGGGGCGGGCCTTGTCTTATCAATTACGTACGATATCTAGGGCATTTAGAAGATGAGAATCCCACAACACAAATCGATGAATTTTGTAATAGCTAGGCCCAACTTAGGAGTTCCTACTATTTTCGTGACCGCGGAGCGGATCTCCCCGGTGCAAACATCAAATCTGACCCAGCATCTAACTTCCCTCTCATAGCGGGACATTATAATAATTTCCGAACCAAGCCAATACAGCTACCGCACCGAAAAACGATATCAGATTCTCAACTGAATGAAATCAGTCTGTCGGCCCACCATAGGTTTAGTTTGACAGGTTAACAGAATCGCGAATCCCAGTTTCTAGGGTCGAATACCCCTACCGGTAGCAGGCTAAAGTTGCTGAATCATGTCTTAAAAATGCCAATCCTCCTCAGGAGCCTTTTCTCGGTGCTCCCCGAAACATCGGTGATGATGAGTATTGAACGACTCGGAGTTTAAACACTACCGAATGCCATTGTTGGGAATCCACTTAGTCGACTATTTGTTTTTCCAGGGTCGAGTGAGGCTTAGTGAGTTGCACATTTCGCAGAGGTGTTCAAGGGCGACAACGACAAGTGACGAAAATGCCCTCCCGGATTGCCTGGAGTTTTATTTAGTGTTCGGGATTTATTTAAAACCGGTACTAGTACCGGTATGATAGTAATACTTGTACATGGTCCGGCAAGAAGTTATGGAACAGTTATTTGAGGTTAACGAGCCAAATCCATCCTTGTCGGTTTCAGTTAATGGGCTCCTATGCTTGTACTAGTACCGGTATCATACAGTACCCGGTACTCGAGTAGAAACTTCGGGAGCGGTTAATTTAGGTTAACCGGAAAAACAATCTCTGTCTTGTGCGAAAGCGTCTCCCATCGCACCCGAACGTTATCTCCATTGCGGTGAGAACCCCGGCTCCGAAAATGCGCTTCGTAATGCCCCTGGAAGCTTCCATTCCTGGTGGCTTGTGCGATGGGTCGCGAACTAGTCACCACATGTCTAAGACAAGATCGATGTTGGCCGGGCAGCTCAGTCGCACCTCCCTATCTCGGATGACTAAAAACAAAAGAATCTGGTGGTACAACGAGTGATCCTGGAAAACGGGTCAAGTTTTGCTGTAAATTTTTATTTTTATTTTTATTTGAATTCACAGAATTCCATAAGGAACAGCGGGGCATCCGTATCATCGAGTTCCGGGACTGCAAGGTTGACTGTAAGCTGTATGGCTCATATACCGTAGGTGTGGTACAGTAGAGTTCGGGGACAAAAATGACCGTTGACATCCTAGGTGATGTCGAGGTATCTCTAGCTATCTCTAGGTAGATGTCGTACAGGTACGCTGATGAGTCTAGAAAATGCCCCATCCCTGTCAGGTTGCTGAGAGTTGTTGGAGAATCCTAAGTGCATAAGGTGGTTTTGGAGTGTTGGCTATGGGTAGTGCCCATCAGACCACTTCCCAAGGTATCTTACTAAGGCAGCCTTATAACACACCTATATCATAATACACTTAGACAGAAGCTGAGAGTTGCTGGGGCCTGATCATAAGAGTGAAAGGCCTGAAGCCTTGCATGCACTGTACATGAAATACATATGGGTGAGAGTGTTTAAAATTGGTTGGACTTCTGGCTCACACAGTAGTTTTCTGCCAGTATGTCAATAATATTGACTAGTTAGACTCTTGTAGCTGGATTGATACAGTACCTAAAAACTTGAGATTGCAAAAAGGAGTATAATTACTCTATAGTGGTATATGTCAGCCAACCCTTGGTATGGATACCATAAAAACATGTGAAATGCGCATCAGAATAATAGAGGAAAGCAACTCGTAAGCCAACGATAGGTTAGTTTGACAGGTTAACAAAATTGCAAATGCCAGTTGGCAGGATCCAGCATGTTCGGTAGGCTCTGATCCTGTACTATGTTCTATATTCTGCTGTCGATTTATCTTGTAATCTTTAATTTACTTCAGCGTGGTCACAAACTTGAGATTCACCTTCCCATATATCGTAGTACTCCCATTAGAGTCTTTTGGAGGCAATAGCTAAACGACGGCAACTGCAGGAGGTAGATTTTTCGTCTTTATCAACTCTGGAATCAGCAAAAATTGAGACAGTGTCTATATATCATTCGTCTTGGCCATATAATCGTGCGCAGCTGGTAAAAGTGGACTTCGATGATATCGATTTCAGAAAAAACGACGTCTAACTCAGCTCTCGAAACATGGGCGGAAAACGATAGAGCTAAATACAAAACACACAGTAAAGCCAATCCTCCTCTTCATATGAGTCTCTGCAATCTTCCATCAAAACAAAGCATACAATATTCTCTACAATCCCCATAAGAAAACGACCAGCTAACTCTTCACATTGGTTAAAATCCTCTATCCTTTGCTCCCTGTTCTCCAGATATCTCTCTCTCTCTTTCCATCGTTCCTTTTCCTTTAGTTCATCTCTGCATGAACATCCACCTGTCCTATAGCTAACTGCCTACCCCCGAACAGTACCCATTAACACTTTCCTCAGCCGCTTCCCGCCAGAACACGGTCGCCCTCCTTATGCACAATCGCCTAGCCTTCCGCAGAGCTTCCATCATCAAAATTGGTCGACTGAAGCAAGTTTTGAAGTAGTTATTTTTACTCATTGCACCATCTCGCCGAAATTTGTGCCCACCTCCAATGTGCACACTCAAGTCATTCTTTCCTCCCAGCCCTTTTTCTTTATCCACCTTTTTTTCGATTGTGGTATGGAGTGGTGGCATGGCTGTGACTGTTGTGCGATCCGCTTGCGTCGCCAACGATGACTCTTGTCCAAGAACAATAATTTCACAACCCTCTATCCTGAAGACTTTTGTGCAGGCACAGCATATCACCCAAAAACCAAACATTATTTCGAATACTTTCCCTAGGGACTCTTTGGTCTTCGCTCACGTATCTACCCTAGCACCGTTCCTGTGGTTTACAGCAATAGTCCAAAACGAATCGCGATCCCGCTTCTTCTCCCCGCCACACCTGCGTAGGCGGAAGCCTATCGTTGTTTAAGATCGCTCAAAAACTTGCGGAGGATAGCAGTGGTGATATCATACCATCCCGTTTAGCATGTGTCCTATTCCATGCATTAATTCCCGACTAAACTAACCCACCATGGCCTGCCAGTGCGAGCGCTTGCTCCTGAGTCCTAAAGCACCAGTACTCATACAGTTGGATCCCAAATACTAGAGAGCCTGCGCTCTAAGGTTGATTCCCAAAACTATTCGAGTGCCTGCGACTAATTTTTGACTAGTGTATCGATCAGGGTCCGGGGATTACAGTATGATACCGTACCAACAAACCCCAAGATTGTGCAAGGATCAATATTGGTGCCCGATCTTTCTACCGTAGCGCAATATAAGGTTATTGCGTGCGGAAAAGGGAGTCCCACCACCCAGATTCCATACAGTTCATAAATCGGGAGCTAGAAAAATGAACTGCGGCACTAGTACCGGCTCTGGTTTGCAAGATAGGTTGGAGGTTCAGAGATCGGCGGTACAGGATAGTGTTGAGCTTGATAGAGCAGGAAAGGTGCGATGGCCGGGAGCCCAGAAACACGCAGCTTGAGAGGTTTTCGAGGGAATTGAACTAAGTGGAGTGACAAACAGTCGCAGTTTCTACTACGTATTTCCTAGCTGCCCAGTGTATCTCGCGTTCCGCCATACCCAACACACCGTCAACGAGATCCTAACATACGGCCTACAGACCACGTAAGGCTTTAGATGCTGGGGTGATAGAAGAAAAACCACACAGTGTCATGGTGCAGTAATCAGACCACGGGTTGGTGTTCTCGTTTGGAGTGAGTTGACCGGGTAACCCCATGGCACTCATACAGTGCTCGAGTACCGTACTGTACTGTACGAGTACAGTATCATACCAGCATAATAAATTTGATTGATCGGCACTCCTCCCCTGTCACTTTTTAGGTTACGCATGGGACCGTGTAATACAGAGGCTAATAGGGTGAGGCATTTACAGTCATGGTACTGTACAGCGATAGGGATAGTTGACGTTCTTTTGGACGAAATGTTGGTGTTCATATACCAACACAAGCCAAGACAAACAGAATGTGTGTATTGTAAAGGAGGAGGTGGATTTATCTGTGATGTTTGTACTGGTGTGCCATTGGAATTAAGTTGACATCCTTGCTACTGTACCATGACTAGATGCCTGACCCTTGTACAGTACCCGCAACTAAATGACCTCTGCCACGACTACTATTGCACAAGTTATAGCCAAAGTTCGGTTTTCTTCTTCTCTGATCTTGGTGTCATATAATACTGGTCGTGTTCGCTCAATTGCGAGTATCATTACTGATACAGTACAGTACAGTGAACGATTACCACTCGAACGTCGTATCGCCAAACACCCCCCAAAATTGTGAATCAAGTCCAAGTTAATACTGGGGCTATTGTTCGCGCTGAAAGCTGAGGCCTTTATCCCTCCATGCTCGCACTCCTCACGATAAAGGCATGCACCAACTATGCTCTCTACTCACAATAGATGAGACTTTTTGTAAGGGTATAAGGGAAGCACTTCTTTGGATATACACCCACACCCGCACCCTACCTAGCCCGTATACCATAACCGAACTATCTTATAAACCCCGAGGCTAGAACTTTAGGGGATTCCAAACGTTGTCTCGTCCCCTCTCGAACTCCAACAACCCCACTTCCTTCAAGGTCATGAGGAAAGTTCCACAACCGTCAACCGGCGGCATAGACACCAATCTCGTGGAGAATATACTCGTTACACTCTCGCGGAAAGACCCCCCTGGGGGCTATGACCGGCTTTTGAAGAAGTTTCCCAATTGTACCTTCAACTTTTACTCTTTGAAGGAGCCGGATGGGCTATGGCACTTTGGTATGCCCGATGATAGTCCCCGGCTTAGCGGTAGGAACTCGAGTTCGTCAGGAGTACCGTGCCCATGACGCTAATGTTTTTGGAAGAGCTATTAAGACAGGCAACTGTATTGCTTGTGGATTGGACACTCCCGAAGATAAAGCAGGTTCCGAATTTGAAGGTTCTTCAATTACCAACCGCCGGCTCCGATCATGTAGTAGGGCAGCCTTTGTGTACCGACACGAAGATTATCTTTTGCACGGGTAGTGGAATTTACAGGTACCTAGCCTGCAGCTCCCCGTCTCCACCCCTCCATCTAACTGAACCAGTACCAAGGTCGCCGAGCTCGTCTTCCTAACCCTCCTTTCAATCCGCAATTCCTTCAACCAATTACTCTCTCAGCAGCGCTCCCACATCTGGGACTACGGCAAATATCCCCGTCCAGGGGACCTTGTAGGCACCACAATCGGGATCCTCGGATATGGGTCAATCGGCAGACAAGTTGCTCGAGTCGCCAGCGGGTTAGGAATGAAGATACACGCATACACTGCGTCCCCGCGACAAACGCCAGAATCCAGGGCTGATCGAGGGTACATTCTCCCAGGGACCGGAGATCAGAAGGGCGAATTACCAGACGCATGGTTTTCGGGCACGGACAAGCCCAGCTTACACACTTTCTTATCTGGAGTAGACGTACTCGTCTGTTCACTACCACTCACCAACTCGACAAGACACATACTGTCCACCACCGAATTCGAAATACTCGGTAAGAGAAAGGCCCACGTCATCAATGTGTCCCGCGGGGGGGTTATCGACCATAATGCGTTGACTAGGGCTTTGAAAGAGGGCTTATTGGGTGGGGCTTCATTGGACGTTACAGAGCCAGAACCCTTACCCGCGGATAGTGAGCTTTGGGATATGAGGAATGTAGTCATCACTCCGCATATAGGTGGACATGGTAAAGATTATTTTACGAGGGTTGTAGATCTGTTTGAAGCGAATCTTTACAGGTTGAGTGCTGGCGAGAGCATGTTTAACGTTGTCGAGAGGGAGAGAGGATATTAGAGAGGCACAGGGACCCCCACGAGGCGGGATGCGCTGCAGTTCCTTCAGTGTTTGGTTGGCTTAGTTTTTGCCGTCGATTATTTACTGAAAGTATAGTACTTGTACAGTAAAATCTCCACTATCTCCGGCATTCGCAATCCCTGTGACTAGTCCCTTTACAGTGTAGCCCATGAGGTTAAGCACAGTGAGGTTTGGCAGATCCAATGGTACGGCATACAGTAGCCGCTATTCCTTCTCAGGTTAGAGTTTCGTCAGGCCGGAGATAGTGGATTTCACGAGATTATGGTACTGGGATTCTCCCTTGTCGGGTTCCTCGGGACTTGTAGTTATGAAAGGAAATGCAAAGACGTTCACGTCGAAGGTGAACCGACCTTCCGTACTAGTAGATTCTTGTGCATGTTCACCTTTTACCGCTCCCCCCCGAGACCTAAGCATGTACCTGCCCTAACCTTGGCCCCGGTGACATCCTGTACCGATGAATCACCTTATCCTGGACCTTCAGGCAACACATGGGTCCCTATTGTCAAAAAAGTGCCCTTTTTCGATTGACCGACACCGTCGATCCCAGCTTCCAGCTCTGGTAGCACAACAGCATGAGGTTATCTAGCTTACAAAAGTGCCCGGCACTTTTTTTTGTGGATGATTCATCTACTCCATTCTAACCGGTTCTCCCGCACGTACGGAGGGAGCCTCAGATACGGTACTACACAAGGGATCCTACTCACGGGTACCGGTACTGGGGCACGGTACAGAATCTCAGTGCACCCCCGAATGCCAAGAGCCAAGATTGCTACACGGTGTGGAGAATTGCTTGATTTGGAGGTTCGTTTCATGTATTTGATGGGGAGGAGGCTCTGGATATTTTTCATGTGTAAGAGGGGGCTTGGCGTGCAGGATTTTCTTCTTATAGCTTTCTTTCTTTTTCTCTTAGAAAAACAACGAACACACACACACACCTACTACTGGGAAATAGAACTTTTTCATCTCTACCGAACTGGACCTACATTTCTTTCTTTGATTCCTCTGCATTATTTGTGAAATTGATCAATACTCACCAGTCCCCATTATCAGGCAATTACTTTCTGGTATATCATGAAGGTAAAGTGAGTTAGCGGGTAGGGCACAGTGCGTAGTCAAACCACCATCCGGGAAAAGGGAAGGAAAAGAATACCCCCAACAACGGTAGAGAAGGGAAGTCAGCAGAGTTCTCACCAGCTCACCACACTTTACCACCACAGCCGCTAAAATCGGGTGACATTCCATGAGGAATGGTCAGGAGGAAAAGGGTACGATAATTAAGGCGGATACTTTGTGATTTGTATCACTTTTGATGGGGCTGGAACAGTGGTATTTTCTCGGAACTATGAGCGTGCCAGTATCAGGATATTCCCAGGATGGTAATGTAATACAAACTCTTCAAGTCTTGTTTGAAACAAAGACATAGTTGCACTTCATTTAGCTTTTATAGGGGGGGTATTTGGCGCAACGCAGCCTATTTGCGGTCGGTGGTTTCATAAGCTAACCAATAGCATCCCTCAAAACCTTCTCACGTACTCGAGTAATGCATTTTTAAGGGCCATGATTAGTTAATTTGCGGATTATAGTTGGCAAACAACTACCTCGACCTAAACGGCCCATAAGATAGCCAGAGCACTATATGTTATCGTTAGACCGGAGCTAATTCCGGGATTGCTTCCGGGGGTGGAGAGCTCAGGTCGTCCATGACAAGTTGTAGTAGAACAGGTTGCGTGTGAATGTGCCTCTCCCACTGAGCCTGGCCTCAACCATTCCTATTCCTCGCCTAGTATGATACATCCGTTATAGGGGACTAAAGGCGGGTTCACAGAATAGTGCCTGTAGCATCCATTTCCAGCCAGCCCGGAATGCTGGGATTGCACCATAGCAGTTCAAACCGAGCAATTGCGGGCAGGTGCCCTCCTATCAGGGGGGGGGGCGGGCGGTGGTGGAGATTTTCGCGGAGAAGTTGGATCTGCGGAGCGAGACGGAACAACCTATCTACCGTGCCCGCCCGAGGGTAAATTATGGGGAATTACGGAGAGGCAGAGAGGGAGGTTATACGATATGATGATCGCTATCACATGGTAAATATAGTAGTGCCATGCTATATACTCTTGAAAATTTACCAGTGGATCGATAGTTTAACAAAATAGGGGCCCCAGGGGGCAAGTGAAGAAGTTTGAACAGAGCCTGAACAGCCCACAGAGAGCCGAAAGATATGGCCGGAAAGCAGTGGAACAAATACAAAAACACCATGGTATGGTAGTGAAGGATGGGGATGGGTTTAGGGGTTTTAATTCGCGGAATTAGTGTTTTGTCGCACATAATTCTCATCGAATTTCAAGTATCCTTTAGCTGTGAGGCACTCCTGCGGAGTGCCGTCAAATCGAGGGTGGCTTAGCGTCCTTCGAAGTGGCGGGAAATTTGGCGCGGTTTGAGGTCTGGCTGGATACTGTCATTACACGATTAAGGGAACCCTCATCTGTACTAGGGCCTTACTTTGAGATGATTTCCGAGTGATATGTGAAGCGTAAACACCTGCGGCCCAGAAGCTCAAATGCCAAGCCACTCCCACTGTGCAGACACTTGATAGTACTGTACACAAGCCCCTAGACAACCATTCTCCTCATCTCTGCTCTACAACCATGCTGGACCACTCCTTCTCTCGCCTCGCAGTGGTAGGAGTAGTCCTCTTGATTGCCTTCCTCGCATACGCGTCCCAATACTTTCTCCTATATTCCCACCTCTCCGAGCCCGAATACGTCCTTTTCAACATCTGCGTAGCCTGCATCTGGATAACCTACGCCCGCAGCATCCTCACTTCCCCAGGCAGTCCTCCTGTAACATGGACGCCCGTAGACATCGACCTCGACAACGCCGACGCCGAGGACGGTAGCGCCAGGGAGGAAACTCGAAGCCTGGTATCCCGCGGCGCGAAGTGGTGCCGAAAGTGCAATGCTTACAAGCCTCCGCGGTGCCACCATTGCAAGACTTGCGGTGTGTGCGTGGTTCGTATGGATCATCATTGCCCTTGGACGAATAATTGTGTCGGCTGGAGGAATTTCCCGCACTTTTTGAAGTTTTTGGGGTATTCTGCTTTTACTTGCTGTTGGTTGTTCTGTCTGTTGGTTGAGAGGGGATGGGAGGTTTGGGTTCGGAGGGATTTGCCTAGTGTTTGCTTGCCCTCGCTCCACTTGACTTGGTAGGGTTGGAGGATAGGGGCTAATGTGCTTAGTATATGTCGCCGCATACATTCCTGGAATTGTGTCTTTTGGCGGTGCTACTGGTTACAGATTTGCTCGTTGCGTTTTCACTCTCGCTTCTGTTCATTCGAACATTGTGGTCGACGGGGGAAGGGTATACTACTATCGAGACGTGGGAACAGGATCGGCATAATGCCCTCGTTCGACAGAAGCGCGTTCGTCGACAGCAATTCCCCTACGATATCGGTACCTGGGATAACCTCTGCTCGGCATTTTGCGGTAGCTCCAACATCATGGGATGGTTCTGGCCGCTTTCTCGAACGAAGGAGGTTGGGGTGGAAATCAAAGGGAGCGATGGACTAAAGCTCAAGGGCGGATTGGAATGGGAACTGAATGGCTACGAAGTTGTGGGTGCTACATGGCCGCCCTTGGATCCAGACAAGGGGGTCTGGATGGGCGCCAATGCCCCGATGCCAGCAGCGGTGAACGATGGCGGTGATTGGGCGGAGGGCGTCAGGAGACGACAGAAAGAAGATATGGAACGAAGGGAAGGAATTAGTAGACCACAGGACGCTATAGTGACTTCGGCGATTAGTAACGGCAGTAGTAAAGTAATAGCCCCAAAATGGATGAACGAGGAGGGCGAGACGTTAGCGGATTACGGGGTCGACGATGACGATGAGGACGTACCACTGGCAGAACTGATGAGGAAAAGGGCTGGGTGGGGGAAGAGTAACACGGATTAAGTTAATTCTTCCCCTACAATTTTTACTTTTATTATTATTTCTGTGATGCCGACTATGATACTATAGAAGGGAAAAGGCGTTGAAGGAAGGGCTACCTACTGTACTGGTGCCTGGGGGATACTTGTACGAGTATCGGGCACCTCATTTACTGCGATTTAATATCATACTAAATTGTTTACTTGTACGAGCACGTGCCGCAGACATGCTTGTAGAAATCAGTCTAAGCAGAACAACACACGAGAACAGCCCGTCCCCTCGGCAGACGCCTCAGAGCTCCCCCACCACTACCCCAGCATGATCAACCAGCCGGTATTACCACACCGGTCCTCGTATTCTAGGTATCGACAAAGCATTGGTCGTTCACTTGACTTGATTCTATTCCGCGAGAAAGGACAAGAAAAAGAAAAAGAGCAACACGTCTCTCCGCCTCAACCCTTCGACGGTCTTCGCGCCGACATTTTTTGCCTCCACTCGAGCTTTTTAACTCGCCTAGTTATGATCAAGGACGGGACGTGCCATGTGGGGTGCAACCCCCGCCATCTTGATTAGTATGCCACCACTACTGTATGATACTGATGTTTGTGCTTTGATCAGCGAGACCGGTGAGGGATGGAGGAATTCGCCACTGATACTATTGTGGGGGATACCTGTTGTGCGCGTTTGTGCTGTATTGGATTGGACGGGTACTATGGGCCTTTTCCACTTCATCTTTTTTCGGCTAGAGTGCTGTAGTTTGTATGGGGAGTTTTATATCTGAGGTGCGTTGTGCTTGGGTACGGTGCGAGCGCGGTGCTGTGGTTGGTAAATTTACCAAGCAGTACCGGCAAATGATGCCGCTGGGCACCTCATTATCGGTGCTCAATACCCCATACCCAACTGAGAACCTTCCTGCGGAGGCCCCCAGATGGAACCACTAGCCATTGCACTTAATCTACTCGAGCAGACTACCGTAGGAACCGAAATACTTGGGAACAATGCCAGGACGTCCAGAATTTCCCCTTTGAATTAAGGCGAGAAAGCAACTAGTGAAGATCGAGACAAGAAAAACAACAGACTTACTAAAAGAGGCAACTCCAGCGCCCCGGCGGGATTCGCAATTATTCCAGTTTTTATGGTACTTGTTGGAACTCGTCATTACTGTAGTGGAGGACTTCCCGTAAGCCTATACCGCCTGGATAGAACAGGAATTTCCGAATATTGTAAAATAGGAGAGGGTGTGTAAAAGTAGTGAATAGAAGGGGGGGGGTCGACCCCCCCCTTCTATTCAGCTCATCTATTCCGATGAAATAGAATGTGTTTAAATGCAAGTGGGGAGACTAACAAAAAAAGTTGCTTTCCAGCCCTTCCAGTCCGAACGGGAGGTCACAGGCCGGTCGACGGCAGTCGACGCCCGTCGGACTGCACTCATTATACAATAATACTTCCTAAGTACTCAACAAGTAATAATATGAAAATAAACATAAAATTGCCTTGAAAATAGAAAGTAATAAAACAAAACAAAACAAAACAAAACAATAATAAAAGCAAGTAGGAAATCTTAGGAAAAGTCTTTTTAATTCACAATTTGAGAAACACGAGCTTCCTCCTCACAATCATTAAGAATTTTTGAAATATCTGCCGCTGGCTCAAAACTAATTAAACCACTCTTTACCCAAGACCTTAAACACTCAGAAGCCTCAATTGTAGTACACCGAAGGAAATTTCGACAGTCGGTTAAAGAAACTTTAGCGCTAATAGATTTCTCATATTTAGAAGTTAGTAATAGTATATTAATTTTCATAATTTAATTCTGAAAAAGCTTTTTCAATTTATTTCATGCCGGAATGTTTGAAATTATTGGAAACAAATTTAATAAATTAAACTAATCTTACCTACTAAAGATGCATTCACATTCAGCAGACATAGCAGGAACAGAAAGTGTATTAAGAGCCATGCGAGAGAGATTTGGATACAGGAAGCGTGCCATTGACCACCAATTGACAAGTTGATCGATAGGAGGCTCACCATCATTCTTAGCCAACCAGCGTAAATATCGTTCCAATTCATCAGGACCAGTACTACCAGTCTCCATTAGGCGAACCTTTTTAAAACTTCTTCCACAACTAGTGGATGATTTTTGAGGCGAAGGGAAAGGTATCGTAGGAGGCGGTAATGTAAGCAGTTTATAGTTTTGGTTCTATAATTGTTGAACGAGATGCATTGTAACGATCCCTCTTTAGATAGTTAGTACTTGGCGACGGGGAACGATACTTCGATTCCTGTCTTTCTTCTTCTCCTTGTCTTACGATAGCTCTAGGCCTCTGCCTACGTTACCGATAGTACAAGACCCTTGTCTTCTACCGGGAACGCCTATCGTAAGCTTTCTCTAACTCTTCTTCGTAAAGCTCCTTCCTTGGCGTAACGATAACGTTGCAATAAAGGTAAAGATCGTAAGGGTGTTTTATATTTGTTAAAGTAATAAGTAGGGAAAGTACTTAGAACAAAGCGTGAAGAACCTATCTTCCTCGGCCGCATCGGCCTCCTTATATAGTGTTCTTCCCACCTTTAATCATGTGACCATGTGCGAAACTAAATCATAACAAACTAATCATATGACCAAAGTGATCACATACTCAAAACCCATGACCTTATTTGGACGGACTGTGAGACAACCGATAA